GCTAAGCAAATCGGCGAAATTTGAGTCTTGAAATCCAGCATTATCCGCGACTGACCTTTCTGGAGATTCTACCATATATAGAAGAGACATATATTGTAATAGAAAGAGAAATCCCTCTTTGATCTATTTTTGAAAGAATTATCTCTAGTACTTCTGAAAACTATTTATTTTTACATTACATTATATTCAAGAAACAAAAATGGCGAAGGTGCGAAATGAATGAATAGTGTAATCAGGACCATTAATGTATATTTTCCGAATAATATCATACAAAGTCTCTGTGTTGACCATTATAGGACGATTGTTTTATTTTATATTTTCTACTATGGAATGTAAAGCAACCACTTTCTCTTATACGATGTAAATAATCCAAGTACTAACGAACCGAACCGCCAAACGAAACCCGAAATTCAAAACAACATTTTACCGAAACCCTGCCTGGCGCCATAAATAGCACTTGCTTACAAACAACAATGAATCAAGTGCTGAACGACACTTCCCCACCTGTCAAACCTTTATCATTCATTATGATTTATAAAACACAAATACTTATAGAACACAAGTACTTTCTGAAATGAACTGATGATTGAACAAACAAAAGTCACGTGATTACGTGACAATCTTTAAATGTATTACAATCAGACAACTGAAACATAAAATGTAAACGAATGTAGTCAGTGGTATTTTTCGACACCCTCCCTCCCTTCCCCTTTTTTCTTTTTTTTATGCATTTTTCATTCAGACTTGTGGATACATGAAGAGATTTTGATGCGGGAGAATGAAGGCGAAAATAGTCGTTTCCTTTACAGGCAGATGTTTATATCCAGTTGTGGTCTACTTTCAATTTGCCTAACTAAAAGTTATATATAAAGGTATATTTTTGATGAGTCAATAAGTATTGATCAGAATGTCATGCGACAAATTGGAAATCTTTCACCGATATAGAATCTGTTAACATGGAAAGAGGTGGCAATTATATTGGCGTAGGCCGACAAATTTGGCTGTACCTATTCTTCTGACGTGATATTTTACGGGATATAGACACGTTTAGGGCCAGACATACAATGATACTTGTTATTGGAATTGCACCAATTCATTTTTGGAATATCAAATTTTTGTTTGTATCAACACTACATAAGCCAAATTTGGTCATAAACATGGGTAATACCAAACTGAACCATAACTGAGTATATAAAGACACTAACGCATTTCACAATTTCTTCACCCGATTCGCCTTTTATTAGTTGATTATTTCAAGAAGTTGTTAGTGGCTATTACTGCTTAGAACATAACAAAGGCGCCTTTCCGCCTCCAGAGGTAAATGTTAGTTGCTACGAACAGCTAACAAAGGCTATCATGTTAATAATAATCAACTTCCGGTTTTATAGTCGTGTGCAATTTGAAATTTTGATGACTCATACCTCTTGATCTTGACCTTTTTAGACCTTCTACTTTACAAGATCAAAGGTCATTGACCTTGGCTATCAGCTGATACTTTCATTTGTGAGGTCTGTCGTCTACTTCCGGTATTAGAATTTTTTTTTAAATTTTCTCAACTTTAGGCTGTTCTTGCACTTGAAATAATTATCGCCGATGGTTGATTTTTTCGGGGTCTTTTGCAATTTGCTACATTTGCAAAGTCCCACTCTGTGCCACGAGTGGCTCTAGTTTTTATTTTTTATGCATAAAACTTCATACATAAATGCATATATTGGCGTCACCCATGCCCGTCCGTCAGTCCATGATGGATGGATTATGACGAAACTTGGTGTGAGTGTTTGTAATCACCCCAGGATGAACCCATCTGAAAAAAGGAATAGTAGCCCATTGTTCTTGAAAATACGTTCATTTTTTGGCTCGTAAAGACGCCAGAAGGCACAATTCTTGAAGGACTGTGGCGAAATTTGGTGTGAGTGTTTGTAATCAACCGAAGATAAACCCTTCTGAAAATCAGAAAATTGAAAAATATATGTAGTATTTAGTTATTGCACTTGTTCTTGAAAACGCGTTCAATCTTTAGCTGCTAAACCCTCTAGAAGGAGCGATTCTTGACGTGTTTTGATAAAACGTGGTGGAATTGTTTATTATCATTCATGGATGAACTTTATTGAAAATCAAAAAATTGAAAACTTTTTTTTATGTGAGTTGACCTCGTTCTTGAAAACGAATTTAATTTTTATCTCGTAAAAACTTAAAGGCTCTATTCTTTTTGACAAAACTTAGTAATATTGTTCAGTATCATCCCAAAGAAGTGTATGACCGAAGTTAAAATATTTCCAACTGGTGATTGTTACTGTACTGTTAAATGTGTTTTATTTAAAATCAAAGCTGAAGCCAATAGGCGTATATTACCTTGCCTGGCAAGCTATATTTTCCTTTATATTTTCATCTGCTGAATAATTTATCACTTCTATCAAGGTGTTTCAGAAATAGAAACGGGAAATTGGCATGGTTCACACATCCAGCGGGAATAATAATTTATACACCGTTACAAAGCTGAAAGACCTCTGTCAAATTTCATAAAAAAAAACACTTTACCTGAAAACAGAACGGAAGAGTTGGCATCGTGCAATGAATTTTCTAAAAAATTCTCTGTTAGTGTTATCTGTCAACCAAAACCTTGTTGGGGTTACGCTTCTACACCTTCGAAAGGGCATCTCCAGAAAACGAAAGTCTTCTTTTTTATGAACGCTAAAGAGATGCGAAAGCACTTTTTTAACTTTTTAATCATTGAATTATTATCAGTAGATAACAACGTGAATATTATCAGGTAATACTGACATTATAATCCAATATATAGATAATAATTTTTATAAATAACTTCTCGAGAGTAACAGGAAGAAACGACACTTCATCCAACTATAAAGTTAGTACACGTTATACATTATCCATAAAATTAAGAATCCATACATCGCTCAATGCGAATCTGTCCTCGGATAAAACTCCATACTGTTTGATCAAATCTCTTATTGTGCAACGTAGACATACATTTCGAGATCCCCTCTCAATGGAAGTCTAGCCATCTGCCTCTATCCCAACCTCTATTCTGATTGCTATTTTGATAGTAAAAACCTAGGCCCTGAGATATACCACATCTCCTTGTGATCTTTGAACTTCTGTTGCGCATCAGTCTTAAATGATTTGATGTAACTACAGACGTGTCATGAATTTTTTTTGGTACATTAATACTGGCATGGCTGAATTGCAAACCTATCCACCTTTCCGAAAATATCTGGGTTTAGAGGATCCGATTAAAATAAATGGGTTTAAAAACCCGCGCCTTCGAAAAATTTCCACAAAACGGGCCCAGTTTACACTCTACACCAGCAGACAACTGCCCAAAGAACCTGAATGGAGGCAAATGTTTCGGACTACAAATCACCTTGACATTCATATTCATATCATCGAAGTGTAAACATTACCACAAAATAGAGGGAATTTATACGGCTTGTTCATACAGCTTCAATTGTATTCACAAGTTTTCATGTCACAATATATAAAAGGGACAGTTTCGCCATCCGTTTGACCTATCGTACCTTAACGGGGATTATTGAGCTAAGCAAATCGGCGAAATTTGAGTCTTGAAATCCAGCATTATCCGCGACTGACCCTTCTGGAGATTCTACCATATATAGAAGAGACATATATTGTAATAGAAAGAGAAATCCCTCTTTGATCTATTTTTGAAAGAATTATCTCTAGTACTTCTGAAAACTATATATTTTATTACATTACATTCAAGAAACAACAAAGGCGAAGGTGCGAAATAAATGAATAGTGTAATTAGGATCATTAATGTATATTTTCCTAATAATATCATACAAAGTCTCTGTGTTGACCATTATAGGACGATTGTTTTATTTTATATTTTCTACTATGGAATGTAAAGCAACCACTTTCTCTTATACGATGTAAATAATCCAAGTACTAACGAACCGAACCGCCAAACGAAACCCGAAATTCAAAACAACATTTTACCGAAACCCTGCCTGGCGCCATAAATAGCACTTGCTTACAAACAACAATGAATCAAGTGCTGAACGACACTTCCCCACCTGTCAAACCTTTATCATTCATTATGATTTATAAAACACAAATACTTATAGAACACAAGTACTTTCTGAAATGAACTGATGATTGAACAAACAAAAGTCACGTGATTACGTGACAATCTTTAAATGTATTACAATCAGACAACTGAAACATAAAATGTAAACGAATGTAGTCAGTGGTATTTTTCGACACCCTCCCTCCCTTCCCCTTTTTTCTTTTTTTTATGCATTTTTTCATTCAGACTTTTGGATATAGGACGAGATTTGGATGCGGGAGAATGAAGGAGAAAATAGTCGTTTCCTTTACAGCAGATGTTTATATCCAGCTGTGGTCTACTTTCAATTTGCCTAACTAAAAGTTATATATAAAGGTATATTTTTGATGAGTCAATAAGTATTGATCAGAATGTCATGCGACAAATTGGAAATCTTTCACCAATATAGAATCTGTTAACATGGAAAGAGGTGGCAATTATATTGGCGTTAGCTGACAAATTTGGTCATAAACATGGGTAATACCAAACTGAACCATAACTGAGTCTATTAAGACACGAACGCATTTCACAATTTCTTTGTGTCCCACACGTTACCAAATACAAGTAGTATATGAGCTTATAGATTGGTCGCATGGGAATTCCCCATTCCATTTCATTTCATGGGGAAAATGCGACCAATCTATAAGCTCCCAAAAAAGACCTAAACTCCCTACATTTCATAAATTCTTACAGCAAAACATCCTACATTTCATAAAATTCTTACACTAAAAAATACCCTACATTTCATAAATTCTAACACTTAAAAAAAGACCTAAACACCCTCACATTTCATACACTAAAAACACCTTCAATCAATTTCCTACATTCCATCAAAAAAAAAGCATATTAAAATAATGTAGAAGGGAGATAACTCTTTTTTGGAAATTTTCTACTCAAATTTTAAACCTTAAAAATGGCAAATAAAATACTAGATCCAATCTGTAAATTATACGATCCGATTCGTTATTCATTAAACAAGAAAAAAGAGGATTATATTATCATCTCACCCACTGTTGGTTCTAAATCCCAATTGAATGATGGTGGTAGAATTACCTTCGAAATAAATTCATTATCGAATTGGTTGCTTCTTTCCGATGCTTATTTCAGATGCGATTTCAAAATTAAAGATGGAACTCCCAATGAAAATCGTGTTCCACAAACTAATACAACGTTAGAAAACAATTTCTTTCCATCTTTATTTAGCGAGATGGTTTTGGAAGCTGGTTCAAATCCGATAGAAACAATCAAACATCCTGGGGAATTCGACACAATGTTGAAAACAGTTTTATATCCTAAAGATTTCGATTCAGTCTCAGGTTGGATACCCGATGTTGGTGATGGAAGTATTTTAAAGGAACCGGTAAGAAATCTTGCAAATGATGCCGATTTAGCTAGAGTGAGAGTTGTTGCTCGAAACACGATAGAAAGAGTAGGACGAGCAGCTAATCATGGATTCGAAAAACGAGTACTTCAGTATAATAATGTTGTTGAGAATAATAGGTGGGGTAATTACGTAAATTGGAAATTATATCCTTTATTCGGTCTGTTGGAACACAGAAAAGTTTCCATAGGCTTACCATATAAAATTCATCTACAAAGAGAAATCAACGACGATAAGATATTCTTTGGAGAGATAAAGATATTGAAATAGCTTTTCTTCATCGCAATACGGTAGGTAGCATGACTTTAACTGGAGAATCCACCGCATGGCCCATCAGTAACACTATTAAACCAGCAAGATATTTAATAGTTGGTTTCAAGAACTTACCAGATTCTCAAACGAATAACAATAATGTGTTTAGAGTGGCAATGAACCAAACTCAAGATCCTTTAATCCATAAAGTTCAAGTAAGATTAAATAACGATAATTATCCTAACCAACCTTTAACAATTAATCCAACCACAAAGGATTATAATGAATTGTATAGAAACTATAAAAACATGTGTGAATTATTCGGAAATCTACCTCAGTTTGAATATGTAGATTTTGCACTTAATCATCCAATCTTCTGTTTTGATCTATCAGCTCACCAAGAAGATCTTTTCAAAACAGGAGTGAACATAAATATTCATATTGAAAAAACACAAGGAGATGTAACAGGTTATTGTTTATTATTAGAAGAAGCAAAACATTTAATTAAAATAGCAGATAGAAGAATGATAAGAATTGAGTAAAAAATATACCCTTAAAAATGAAAGTAGAAACTTTAGTTATGAAAATAATAGAAGCTGTTGAAACAGATTCCCCTACTGTAATAACTTTCAACGGTAAAAAAATCAGTATAACTAAAAAACTTATTGATAAATACAAATATTGTAAAGTAAGAGACGATATAGATTTAGAAAGAATTGATACAAATGTAAAAAAAAGGTGGATTTATATTTTCCCTACCTTTAATATTTGCTGGTATTCGCGGCGGCTACAGTGGCTGGTACTACAGATGGTGGTGTAAGCGTTGCCAACGAAAAGAAAGCTGCTATTGCAAAAGCTGCTTCTACAAAAGCTGCCGATGAAAAGAAAGCAGCCGTAGATCATAGACACAATTTAGCAATGGAAAAGTTGGCAGCAGAGGTTAAAAAACCTAAAACGGAAAAGAAAGGTTCAGGAGTGGGAGAAATGATAGGCACAATGAAAGAATTTGGAAAAAGATTTAGTGAAGAAACCAAGAAAACTGTTAAACAAGGATTAAATAAATTAGTAGATAGTATTGACACAGGAGAAATCAAAGTCAAACATAAGGGTAATGGAATATTTTTAAAAAACATACGCACTGGAGAAGGAATATATCTTTCAAAGTATAAAGGAGAAGGAGTGATTTTTGGAACAAATTAAAATAATAAAAAATGGGCAAAAAATTTAATCATTCAGAAATATTTCCAAGTAACCCAATGCTCATGTGTATATGCGGTAGTTCCGGTTCTGGGAAAACTCATCTCACTTTTAACATGTTGACAACACCAAACCTTTTAGATTTCGATTCTTTGTATATCTACACAACAACACCTGGGCAATCATATTATCAATTCCTCAAAGCTTTAGAATATCTACCAAAGAAAGATGTTCAAGACCTATTTCAATATTAAGAAGAAAACGAAGAAGAAGTGGAAATAAAAAATATCATAGATAACTACATCGAAGGAAAGAAACCAACGGATATAAAAGTTTTTCTTACGAAAAATGTTAATGATCTAGACTTGTCTAATATTGATAGCAAACGAAATAACTTAATGTTGTTTGACGACTGCGTAGCGCAAAGAAATCAAGCTGTTCAACAAGAATTCTTCACGAAAGGAAGACATCACAACTGTCACTGCATATACCAATCCCAATCTTTTTATGGGATGGATTCTATGTTCATTAGAAAAAATGCAAATTGTTTTTTATTATTTGAATTAAACGATAAAGATTTATCTCAAATCATTCTGTCGATAAATCACGGAATGGACAGAGATACATTGGATTGGAATAATATTTTAAAAAGAAATAAAGAATATATCAAAGCTAGGAATAAAATAAAAACCCAAGTTGAAAATAACAGATTACAACAACTCGGATTAACGGAAAATCTACAAACTCTATTTCAACCCATATTAAAATCTCAAGAGGATATTAAAAAGAGACTTATCCCTCCTATAGAACCTCCCAAAGCGATTGAATATCATGGTATTATAATTAGGACAGTAGATGATGTAAAACATTATTTTTCAAACCCTGACCCAGATTTACCAAAGAGCATTTCACCAATCATTGATGAAGCAGGGTTACGGTTTAATGGATTTAGAATAAGATTTAGGGCAAATACCCCCGAATTTATAATCGATACAAAAGATTATATATACACATTAACGAAAGGATTAATAGATTTAATGAATGGGGAGGATGCTGGCACTGCCGATTACAAGGATTTAGTAGCATACTCCAAATTTCTAGATGCAATAAGAAAGTCAGGACCCGAAACAAGAAGATCGAAAGTAGTTGAAACATATTTAAATAAAGTTATTCCTGATGAAGAGGAATCAGATGATTATGCAGAAGATTATCCAATCATACAAGAAATAGACGAATTCGAAGATATGGTATCTGGACAAGGTATAACGTTTTTATCCGACAACAACCAGGAACTACTTAATAGATTGCGAGTAATATTAGCGGCAATGAAAGAAGGACATCGATCACACAGTCAATATAATGAAGTAAATTGTATATTAAAAAGACTCCTAGAGAAAGGTATCATAGATAAAAATGATTATAAAAGCGTGATTGAAAATAGTCATTAAAAATGTCAAATAAAGAACAACTATTCGTCACCACCTTATCAATCAGACATTAAATTGTCTCTAGACTATGAGTACGAACTCGATCGCAATCAAGAATATGAATTGGGATTAAAGTATTTCTCTGTTTACAATTCCATTAGAAATATCAACGAAAAAAATAACCAAATAAAAATATCAACAGATAACGGAGTTACGTTCAAAACCATACGTTTACTACCAGGAAGCTACGAATACATAGCCATTAACGAATGCTTATCTGAATACGCAGGAAGCGTGAGCGGTAAAAACAATATCGAATTCGAAGGTAATTTGAATCTAAACAAAATAAAATTGATATTAAGAAATAATTGTCAAGTTGATTTCAACGTAGAAATTCATTGAATACGTTACTAGGATTTGATAAACGACTATACACCCAATCCACTTTAGCACCACACAAAGCTAATATCGAGAATGATATCGATGTGATAAATATACATTACAATTTGATAAATGGTGGATTTTTCAATAAATATAAACGTCAGATTATTTACAGTCTTCCAACATTTACTGTACCGATTGGATGTAGAATTATAGAGAAACCATTTCAAACAACATATTTACCACTTAATTCCTTTATGATTAAAGATATAAATCTGGAAATCAAAGATGGTAAAAATAGGTTTATAGATTTTGGTAACGAGGAAATTGTTATTCAACTTCATTTAAAACAAAAAAATTAACACTCTTCATTCTCTTCTTGAATAGTTAGATAATCGAAATCATCAAATTCATAGTTGTCATCCATGTTCAATTCTTTTCCGTCGTGTAAGGATACATAATTCCTTCACTGTTTGGTGCTTTTCTCTTAACGAGATTCAGATAACTTCTGAAAACTTTCTTTTGTTTTTCATTAGGAATAACTATTCCATCAGTAAAACTTTTTACCCAAGGTTTATCAAATTCATTCGTTACGTCATGTCCACTAGCTAATTGAATGTAGTCTTCTACCTTAATCTTATAGTTAGAGTAACCCTTAAACGTTTTCTTTTCTTTTAGAATACCGTCGGAAGTTAGAATGATATTGTATTTTACTTTTGGCGCTAAATATAAACCAAATATGATTCCACCATCACCATAATCATTCTTCCCTTTGCTATTTTCGTTTTCAGACACCAACCCAGCTTCATTTAATTTATCCCAATTGCTAGACGAAATGTATAAACTATCAGTATCTGTATAGTATATTTCCGGCTTATAAAATCCATCTATTACGTGAATGAAATTGTTCATTATTTTTTTACTGTGAGATAATATAAATGCACATAAATGAGTGGGTGTTAGTAAAATCCTTTGGAGGAACAAACTCTTTTTCTTCGTCATTAATCTGAATGATATATTGGGTCTCATTTACTTTTTCATAGCTTTTGACTTTGTGAATCATAGTTGGCTTTAAAAGTCGCTTCACTCCATAGATGTCTCGATGTATTTATATCCTTCTGAATAGATTTACCGTATAAGGAATTACCTAATAATTTCATGCAATTACTAGCAACCATATCTCCTTTTTTTTGTATTTATTCCTTAATTCCTTCAAAATTAAAATATAATCTCTGTATGGTGGAGTTTTAAAATTTTCTTCGTATACTATTCCATTTAATATTTTAATAATTTTACCACCGAATTGCACTATTTCTTGAATATCAACCGATGTTAAAACATCTGAACAGAAACCATTTCTAAACCTGATTTTAGTGCCAGTTTCCTTCTTACCTATTCTATTCGTAAAAGTTATTTTATCTTGAGCTGGTATGGGTTGAAAGAACATGTTGGTAGGATATTTAAACCAGACTTTTAAAATAGCAGTTCTAGGTCTGAATTTCTGCTCATTAAAGAGTTTTACAAATTTTTCATTTTCCTCTGGTCGAAAAGATCTGGCACTTTCCGCTTTAGGATAGTCACCTTCTGTCATAGCGGAAGCGTACAACCCATTAGCGTCAAATGCCATCAGTTTAGAATAGTCCAGTTCTTTGAGTTTAGCGTGATCTTCCGTTTTATCTTTTGGGTTAACACTATATTCATTTAATAAATCTATTATTCCTTAAGTGTCACTTTCATTGTATTCTTTTAATATAGCGCAGATCTCATTCATTTTATCCGTTTCAAATGATTTTCGATTTGCCGAAACTCTTCCTCCTTTAATACTTTGTCTGATAAAATATCTTATAAAAGGATGAGTATGTGAGTAAACTTTTTCTACGTTTTCTTTTTCGTTGTGTTTCGGAACCATTCTAGTAGTTTCATACCATTCTTCTTCAACCATTTCTTTATTGTAATGATATAAATAATACCAACCCTTTAAAGATAAAGAAAGAGCCGTTAGATTATTGGAAACGTTTTGGAAGACAGTTTTTTTCATTGCTTGATTGTATTTTATCAAACAAGCTCCGAGACATAACGTATCTCTTTGAGCGTAAGGTTCCCATTCGTGTCTTAAAGATTCCCAATTATCTTTAGTGTATTTTGCAAAATTAACATCTTCGATCTTTCTCAAATTCATTGGTAGATTAGATGAATTTCCCCATGCTGCCAAACTAGATGATTCGTGTTGATAGGAACATATGAAATTAATATTTTGCAAATAATTAGAGTTACCCTTTATTTCTTTCTGTCTTTTCCATTTTTTCTGTAAATCTTCATCAGTGAATGAATTAGTTAAAGGTAGAGACAGAATTCCTCTGGGCGTTTTTAAAGAGCATTGTGTTAGTTTTTTTACGTTTTTTGATCATGATCCAGTTATCAAAACCGCTAGCGTTATGAGCAATTAATGTTATTCTCTTCTGGTCTATTTTTCCTAAACGTTGTAACATTTGATCGATGCAATCTGTACCTACAAATATTTCTACTATATTAGTCATGAGTTTGTTGTAAAATTCTTCTGGAATGGGATCTGTCGGCTTTAAATCTGGAAAGAGATTATTTATTCTGTTTAACATTTTTCTGAGTTTTTCTAAATTAATTAACGTGCAAGAATAAGGTATGGCTTTATTTTCGTTGTAGGTTTCGCAATCCCATGCGTATAAACAATCATCGTGAATGGTTGGAAAAACGTTTAGTTTTAGAGGTGAAACTTGCGTTACCGTTTTATCATCTCTACAAGTTCTCCATACGTTTTCGTCGTAATTATCTTCTATTTCTGTAATACCTAAGGTTTTGTTATTTCTTCTAATGAGACAGAAATGTGATTTATGTAAGTAAAATACCCAATCTAATTCTTCGGTTACTTTCTTTGGTTGAAAATGTCTATGTTTGGGCATTTAAATTTGAAAATTAGTATTAAATTTCTTATTGAATTCACAGATTCTAGCAGTTGTCATAACTCCTTTTCTGTTTGATTTTGAAAAACTGTTGATGAAATCTTGAAATTCTCTCGTGTAGTCTTCGTTTAAAACACGATTAACGCACTTTACAAAGCAGTATCCATCGCTCGGCATATAACAATTTATACCGATATATTCTTTTATCTTTTTGAGTAGGGTTACACCACTACCCTTTTTTGATCTTTTTATTTCTTTGAAATTGTTTTTATGGAAAATCATTTTTCCTGTGAAATACCAATCGGAGGCATCCGATTTATTATCCAGCGCAGTGAAGAAATTGACAAAAGTTTTGGTATTAAAACCTACAAATTTCATGTCTTGTTTGTATTTTCCATCTTGAGTTATCTCTCCATCTATTTCAATTTGCCCTTTAAATGTTGTAAATTCATTAGTGATAAGCTTAATAACATCGTCAAAAAGTTCATTTGATATGAATTTATCAATTTTATTCATATTTTTTAATTCATCAGAGATAATCTTGTCAATAATATCGTCTAAAATTTTAATTGATATGAATTTTTTATCGTCTAAAATTTCAATTTTATTCATATTTTTAAAGCAACTATTTTTAACTAGGAATTTTTAACTTTTATTGATGATATTTCTACATCAAATTTATCTAAAATTTCATTGAATTCTTCTAATTCTTCAATGGTTATGTTCTTATCTTCTCTCGATCTTTCGAAAAATATAAACAATTTATTAAGATATGTATTTGAAATTTCTGTTTTCCTTTTATAATGAGCTTTTTGTTTTGATGTAAAACCTAAAGTAATCAAACCACAAGATGAAGTTTGAACGGCAGTGAATGCGGCTAATACAGTTGGGACAATTATTGGAAGCATTAATCCACCGGTTATGGCTGTTGCCGCCGTTATCCCTAAAAGAAAAACTAAAACAATTCAACAAATGCAGAAAAACATGGAGTAGAATCGATTCGGTTTTCAAAACATTAAGTACAGTTGTACAGTTTGTTTTTCTATCATGTAGTTTTGTCTACTTTCGAGTTCCATTTTTAGGTAATTAAATTAAGTGAACTTCTGATAAAGCAAAAGATGGAAAGTGTTTAATATTAGGATCCCAAACTCCATCACTCAGTTTAACTGGTATATTTTTTTCATTATCTGTTATAATTATTTCAGGTTTAATAATAAAAACTTCTACAGTTACTAAAGATATTTGTTCTTTTGAATCATTAATCTTATTCAGATGAACTGAAAATTTTGGTTTTTCGATATTGATTTTTATCCCACATCTACAGGTATATAGACTTTTTCACTTTTTCACTTTCAATAATTGATGAAAATATTATAAATTGTTTTCCTTGTTGACTTTTATGAATATTGATTGAGGTAAATAAATCAACTGAGGTAAAATAATTAGTAGAAGAGGTATATTCGTGTGAAAAACTTTTATTAACAAAATATAGTTTTACGTATTCAAAGTCTGTTGCTCGTATTTCATATTTCCTTCTTTTTGTGGTTCTGGATTTTTAATAATATTCATTGATGGTGGACTTTCCGTTTCCAATATCATATTAAATTCATCTAATGTAAAAATATCATTTTTTTTATCTGGTATGATTAACAATCTAAACCTATCTATATATTTTCCACTCGTTTTAATTTCATATAAGTGATCAACCTTGTTATTTTCGTCGTTACTTTCATATTCTTTAGTTTCTACATTGACTCTACCATTGATAAACTGAAGAACTTCACGAGCGTTAAATTTATTAGATGATGGCGATCCTTGTGTGAAAAATATTGAATCAACTTTTAACTGTATAGTGAAAATAATTTCAATTACAATTTTTTCAAAAAAAAAAATTGAGAATTAAATATTTTAAAGGGGAAGGTTAAATTTGGAGAATATACTCTAATATTTACTGTAAATCCATATCTTTTATATTCATAGTCTTTTGATTTATCAATATTATCAGTAACAGAAGCATGATCAGAACTCAAATTTCCAAATGGAAGATTGAAATAATATGATTCTTTCTTGAGAAACTTTTTTTCTAATGCGAGTATATTTTTGTCCTGTTTTAAAACTAGGTTATTAATAGTGGTTATCTGTTTTTGAATAACACTATCATCAATATTTTGTATTTGTTGATGAATATAGGTTTTGATTTCGCTATCATAAATATTTTGTATTTGTTGTTAAATTTAGGTTTTGATTTCGCTATCATATATGTTTTGTATTTGTTTTTTAACATTGTTAGTTCTTTTTGTAATTCACTGTTAAGTTTAGTTTCCAGAGCATTTAATTCCTGTTGAAACGTATCTTTCATTTTCATCTGGAATGTTATCTATCAATTGTTGAATGTCTAATTTTTGTTTTGCAATCTTATCCTCTAATTTAGATATTAATGAAATTAAATTTTGTAACTCGGTTTTATTCGATACGTTGACCAATTCTTTTTGAATAAAACTTATTAATCTTTGTACCTCTTGTTGTAGTTTAGTATCATTAACAAAATTTTTATTATTTAGTTGACGTATGAAGAATCTTTTCACATTACTTATTTTATCTTCTAAATGGTTTTTATTTACTTCAATTGAATTTATTTGTTCCCGTAAATATTTCTTGTGAATGGCATCATTATCGTTTTCCGGAGACTTTAAATTAGTTATGCTAAAATTGTTCATATCTAAATCACCTTGAAGAGTGTCTCCGATTTGATCCACAAAGTAAGGATTTGCTTTATTTATCCACGCTGTAGTGTTAGGTTTTTTGGTTTTTAAAGATAAAGAACCTAATCCAAACTTGTTCGCCATTTTTAATGAGTTAAATTTATTACAATTTCTTCGAACTGTTTTCCTAAACTCAACTGATATAAAACCCAAAGTGAAAGCTGACCACAAAACTTTTGTCCCGGTAATTGAATTTGAAATGTTGAACATTTGATTGGTTTATTAGTCAATTGGATTATCTCTTCAGTGGGTTCTAATCCATAAGAATCGAAGAAATAAAAGTCTTTGTACAAAGCAGAATGATCATTTATTTCATCTCTCATAAAATAATAAAACGGTGATATATTTAACTCTTTCGCTCATCTCATAAGTTGAAAGTTTGTGGTTGTATCGGTTCCATATTTATCGAGAAAGACATTCATTTTTAAAAGTCGGTTTTTTGAAGTTCGTTTTGATAAAACTTACCTATGATTTGTTCTTTGTCTTGATCGATTAATTCATATGTTGGAGGTGATGTGGTGTTTACTTTATCAACGATGAATATTTCGTTTGTCCAGTATCCAACGTAACCTTTTTCTAATTTACTTTTATATTTGAAAATACGAACTCGATCTCCAACTTTAAATTTGGGTTTGATATTTAAATTATTTATTTCATTTTCGTAGTTATGTTGCGCGTTAATTGACTTTATAATATTTGGATTACTCGAGGCTTGTGTTGGTGTGACACCTATAGATGAATGAATTTTGTTATTGTATTCATCTACAACCTCTGGTAATATTTTAAGCCATTTTTGGGATTTCAATTCCGTGAACTTTTTGAATAATTTATTTTTTAGAGTCCTATTAAATCTTTCTATTACTACAGCTTTACCTTCGTTACGCGTACTGTAAATTTCAAATCCCAGAGATTTCATATTTTTATTATAAAATTCACTTCCTTTATCTACTCACAGTTTTTCTGGATGACGGTTAGATTGTTTCATAATCGTTTCAAATGCGTGTTTGACTGATAAACCTGTTTTGTTTTTGAGAGGAATAACCCATACATATCTCGTATATAAATCTATAAGTGTTAAGCAATATTTAAATCCTCTTTCGACTGGCATATGAATTAAATCGGCTGACCAAATTTCATCTTTTTCAAACACTTTGACTTTTAAAAAGTTTTTAGTTTTTCTAAATTCTTTATGAATTTCATCCGCTAATCCCATACATAATTTCATCTTTGCTTTCAAGAGTTTAATGATTAATGCTCTTTGCATTCTCTCTTTGAAAGTTGGATTTGGAATATTTTCAAGTTCTATTATCATTTGTCTGTCTGCTTCGTGTCTGAAGTTTATGTCTTTGTTTCTGTATAAAATATCATGTTTAAGCGCAGCGGCGTCAACTCTATTGACTGGTTCCTCCCCTGGTTTGGGTTTATCGTTTTCGTCTAATCGCAGATCTAACCTAGTACCTGGACCAGTGTAATTATGACCGGGAAGATGTTTTTCTCCGGGATATTTCGCCCATGGAAATCCAGGAAGAGAACTCAATGATTTTTGTATATCTCCTGAACCGAAATAAGTTTTTGGAGCGTGAGCGACAATCATTTTTATCCTATAACTTTAAAACCTTTTCCTTTCCTTTCTTCTAATCTCCTGTTTCGCAGTTCTCTTATTAGCTCTAATTCTTTCAACTCGTTAGATTGTTTCACTGTGTCGCTTATACTCTTTCCCGCTTCCGCGATTGAGCCGATGGCTTTCGCTCCGGTTGAAATGAGTGATTTGTTTTTTGAAACAAAGCTAGCTACTTTTGGAATTATTGTTTTACCTAGAGAAAATAATGAAGAAAAGATACCGTCGCCCGAATAATCTTCGAATCTATGTTGTTCGTGTTTTAGAATTAAACTCATCCTATTTTTAAATGAGTTAATTTAGTCTGTTTTTTATCCAAAAAGAGTTATCTCCCTTCTACTAAAAATAACATTATTTAAAACGAGGCTATTAAAAATGTTATGTTATTTTTATATTAGGGTATTTTTAATATGCTTTTTTTGATGGAATGTAGGAAATTGATTGAAGGTGTTTTTAGTGTATGAAATGTGAGGGTGTTTAGGTCTTTTTTTAAGTGTTCTTCGTACAATTCCGTAAGTTAAGTGTAGCCCTGAACATCAATGCGGTATACTGTGAACCACCATTAATCACCATTATAACACTGTGATATGCTACAGAGGGATTGTGTACCTGACCAGAATCATTTACTCGGCACTGAAACTTAAAGGACGTGACCAAAACCGAACTGTTGTTCCAAACAGGAAACACGATAGAAACAATGTTAAACGAAAGTAGCTATCTCAAATTTTTTCTTAATTTACAATGAAAGAGCTTCCTAAATATCTTGCAAAACCTAATATTGTTAGCGTGACAAGCCCAGCTGATAAAATTGAGCGGAAAATCGATTGTTGACTCTCGCTTTCTAAAATGTAAAAACGACACGTTGTTTCGTATGGTCCAGAGAGTTAGAGGAGCTTTCGCGGCGAACTGTTTGAACATTTCACCGTCGAGAACAATCGTGTATATTTGCTTACCAAATACGACCTGTTATTTTTAAATGTTAATGTAGCTATACCCTGTTTACTCGGCAGTTCAACTTGTAAAACGCTATGTATGAATAGCAGTATATTCGTGATTGATTTTCTAGAAGATAAGAGTTTATTTGCAGCTGTCTAAATGACAATTAGTTGGTCTGTGAAATTATGATAACGTGACGACAGCTTGGGCCTTATTATCTAGACTGTTAGTAATATTATTACTGCATTTGTGTATTGTGGATTGTACTGAGCAAACTCATATATGTTTCATCACCACGCCACCTGGAAAGTTTCAAAGGATGATATTTGATTGATGAGTGATATTTTAATTAGCCGCTAAGCCCGATGTTTATTAGGATATTTATTACATACTAACAGTTTGATCGAGTGTCACTGCTACAAAATATAACTTACTTATTATGGCATGTTTAGGTGGAGATAAGTGGGTAAGTATTTAAAAATAAATATTGGTATCAGGTGCCAGAGTCCGCTCCGTTATAGCTGCAAAACATACACAACAAACATGACAAATAGGAACGTACAATAATTAAAAAAAACATCTCAGAGCGTGACAACGAGACCTTATCCCAGGGATTTCAAACCTTTTGAAACTTCAAGCCTTTTAGCATTCAACTCAGGTGCCTCCATTAACTCATGTGCTTTTAAGCCTACAATTTTTTAACAAAAAATTAAAACTTTTGGGTATCTGTTGAATAAATCAATTATATAATTACATTCCAACTCTTAGAATTAATTTATACCACATCACGATAAACCTCTCAATTATTCAATTGACAAAAACAACACACGTAGATAAGCTCGTCACTCGTAATAGGAGTTTGATCATATGAGTTTTGTCCACAACTTCTTTCATCAAAATTTGTCGACGAGTTAACTTAGGACTGGTATTCATATATATTATAGACTGCAGTTATAAATAAAATTAGTTTACAGAGGAGTCCCAGAATGTAAGAGAGCGAATTATGTTGAATTAGCAGGAAAGGGTCCCCACTACCTGGGGTGACCCGGAATTGAAGAATGGAATACTCTTGGAGATTTTACTGAATATATTATTATTCATCATTAACAATTAACAATTAACAATACAACATATGTTGTACATAACCCAAACTCGTGAAGTTATACAAATTCTGGAAATACAGAAAAAAATTGAATTAGCACAACATAATAGAACATGACATTTTGACTACTAAACCCAACCTTATCAAATTGCAAATCTGAAACTGGTTTCTCATAAACATAAACTGTCTACACAGTGACAAATATGAATTGATAATAATGTAAACATATTAATATTAAATAGATATAATGGACAAATAATAACATATTAATTAATGTTCAGCACGTGCTTTGTTGAAAATCCACAATTCGACGACACCAAATTCCAATTTCAAAATATGCAATAAACACAATGTCACACTTCAATTATCATAAGAAACGTTTTAATAATGTACCTGTAGAGTGGATCTCCTTAGTATTAATTATAAATATATATATATTATATACTATATTAAACTCAATTAAAGCTTCTGAACTTAGATGTGTGTATTTCTGCACAATGAGGCTTAGAAAATTACTTATATAAACATATAGGCAGATATTGTATCACCTATACCCGCAAAATAAATAAAACGATTATTCTATTCAAACCACTACCCTAGATGAGCCCCTGAAAGTGTAATGAAGGGTTTCCATAATTTGTATACTTCTGATGCCGTTTCCGAAATATGAGCTACCTGTGACAAATCAATAAATGGATTTGCCACACAACGAACAATTCTTGTGAGGTTGTCATTTTGTTTCGATTGAAAACAAGTCGTTTGAAATTTGAAGATCGAATATGTTAGTTGTTATCTCCCTTGAAATAGAGTCGTAACGAGAATTCATTGAATAATCCCAGACTATATCCTAGTCGTCGACAGAAATAGTTAAGGCGTCTTCAACTAGGGTATTTACCAAATAGAAACGTTCTTTCATGTGTTCGTATACCAAGTCTGTAACAGAAAAATCACTTACGGAGGTGTTTGGGTTTGATTTTAAGGACACATACGATTTGCTACGGATTTGGATAGGATCCAATGATCCATTTTGCATTTAGATTGAGGTTTGGGTTAAGACTGAGTTTGAGTTTGCTTACACATATCATCGTAATTGCATTCTTTCATTTTCGTGCCGTCTGCTGAAACTTGATCGATAACAAGTTTATTGATTTGTTTATTTTCGTTGCCATGGTGAAAATAATAAATAAAACACACATCATTGTTAAATGATTTTAGTAGTGAAGTTTAGTGTAAGATTAAATGTTATACCCTAACCTTTAAGAACCTTTTAGAACCTTTTGGGGTAATTTTAAGATTTTTTACTTGAAAAGGATGTTAAGGTGTATTGTATTCTAAAATGTTATCTATGTCACACCGTTTTATGGTAAGTAAAATTATTTGTAAATATCGGAATAATTGAACTGGTGCTTTCAATGAAGTACCTTTATTAAAAATACCAGTTGAGTTTATTGTATTCTAAAAATGGTCAAAAAATAATTTCGTGAGTGTTTTTGTCCTTCCTTGGTGCGCAGGTGACGCTTACATATGAGTCTTTCAAGGTGAATTCTTTTTTTGTTTCGACCATTTGGCATTGATTTTTGATAAATATTATAGATTGCTAATTGCACCTGTCACATTGGAAAGTCGTTCTTGCTGCGCTGGTACTGCAATGGAAAATGGGTTAAGAGTGATTTTAGGTCGACATAAGCGGGCATACGCGTGTAGGACATACCAGATATCGTTCAATTGTGGACATGTTCAAAACAAATGCCATTGTTCGGCTATCTATTCTGCAGCGTGTTGAAAACGCGATAGGATCGAAAAGGTAAACCGACAACTGTTGTAAAATATCCTTGGGCGGTATAAAAGTGCAATAAACGCGTGACAAAGACGCTGCAAAACCGCTTGTCACATAACTTACGGTTAGAGGTCGACTGTTTTTATGTTTTAAATAATTTTTTCTCTGGATTTCCTCACGTTTGACCGCATTTCATGTCGCTGTAAGATTGCAAATAGTCGCAATCCGTGACGGACTATAACTCCAAATCCATAAAGAGTCTATGGCGAAATAGCAGTATCTTTTATTTGTGATTTCTGACCAGCCTAATAGATTGTCTTTTAGCATGTACCCACCTCAAAATGTAAAATGATTGGCTTTGGTGTTTACACGGCAGTTCAACTTGTAAAACGCAAAGTCATGTATGTTTCATCAGGAAGTTAAGAAAAAACTCACATACTAAGACAATACGCCACCTGGAAAGTTTCAAAGGATGATATTTGATTGATGTGTGATATTTTAATTAGCCGCTAAGCCCGATGTTAATTAGGATATTTATTACATACTAACAGTTTGATCGAGTGTCACTTCCTGCTACAAAATATAACTTACTTATGATGTCATGTTTAGGTGGATAATTTTAGCGGCTTCAGTTGATGCAGAGCATAAATTGATTTTTCGTTGTGAAGCTTCAGTGAAGGATTAGTAATGTTAAGATTTTTAAACTAACGGAAAAGGTACAATGTTTGCCCAGATGTCATCTCTTTCACGACGTTTCATGGTAAAGTTTTTCTTAGATTTTTCATACATTTTTGCATAACATGTCAACCTCAAGGTTTTTCAAACTTGTTTAAAATATCCAAAGCATTCAATTGGAGCTTTTAATACAAAACCTGAACACATTGAGTTACTCCTTTGAGTTTATATCATTCAATTAACGGTCAAAATATAATTTGTCGTTTTTTTCTCCATAGACTGGACAAAGGAGAAATTATGCATGACAGGGTAAACACATATATGGACAATTTATAATTTTTGATTCATATATATATAGTGGTTGTTTGTTTCAGAGTATGAATACAAGAAAAAGACGTCTGTATCTAATGGTACTAACTTTAATTATTCTTATCTGGTACCTGGTTTGGAACTGGAATGAAATTCCACAATGGTTCATACCAGATCAACAGATTCCGTTATTAGATCCTGCTGTCAACTCTAGGTCAGTTATTTGTCATTTTATACATCAATATTCTTTAATAAATCAATATGACACCTATTGTATCATACTATTATATCATTCTATATGTATTAGAGAATGATAATATTGACATAAAAGGTAGACTACCTCTTACTGTGACCATAAAATTGAATTTTTCAACCTTGGCCAAAATGAGTCTTTGTTCATCAGTGAACTTGCCTGGTGTCATAACTATACAACAGATTCCCTCTGTAATCCATTATATCCATAAAAATAATTAACTATTAATTTAACTTCTTATTTTAACTTTAATGGAGATAATGTCTTAAATAGTAAATCTATTATTTAGCAATGACACTCTAATTGACCAAAAGTGAGACGTTACATTTTAATCCGATTCTAAAAGGTAGTTTTAGTTTTAACGATGTTTTTATCAAATTTTATTATAATTTCAGATTTTCCCGATTACCACAAATTTCTGGAAGTCCAGTTTTAGAAGGAAATATATGGGTGATTCTGGAGACAGAGAGAAGTCCATCAACAAGTGAGAAGAAATTCTGTAATAATTCTGGATATACTGTTCTAGTTATTGGTAACGAATTATACAGAACACAATGGAAGTAAGTACCTTGATCGTTTACCACTTGATAGCCGCTTCTTGTAGGTATATAGTCACAGTTATGTAGGGCAGGAGTCCAAGGGCCACCCGAAAGGCCTGAAGTTAGATTTTTTGTGGAATATGCATTTTGTTATAATAATGAAGAAATAGCCTTTCAAACTGCATAAAATGCAGGATTTAAGCCCTTTTCTAAATATGTGCCCCCTGAAAACCCAACCCGTTAGAAAGATTAGCCAAAAATTGACAATGGCCCAATTCAAACTTCTGCAGCGACCACTGTATAGTCATCAGTGTTAGCACTAATAACACAGTTTTATAGTTAACATACCATACTACATTATAAAGTGCAATTTATTGCATGTATCAAGTCAGTAATATCGGGTCTATATATAGTTACTCACTTATTATTTATATACTTTCTTGTGTGAAAAGTTCATTAGCTGCTACCAATGTTTTGCCATTTTGTTGTTTGGATTTGCGTTTCAGATCCTTAGTCCTTGTTTTATTTATTCGACCAAGATATTTCCGACAAATTGATAATATGATCAAATAAATGATATTTTTTATATTTCAGCAAAGCAAAATGTCGGTTCCATGGTATTTCAGATCAGGAAAAACTCAACTTCAAATCTGCAATGTATCTGAAAAATTCCAACGTTTCCAGTACAGTCAGAAAGAATATTGGTATTTTATTCGCCGTCCAACAAGGTGCTACAGTTATCTATGATTTAAAAACATTCAGTGATTTTCTCAATATAGATTTTAATCACAAATGGTGTTTAAGGTATTCAGGACCGGAGAATTTTAATCCATTTCTACATTTTAAAATCGTGAATGCTGGTGATAGGAGTGGTAGTTTCATTTATAATTTGACTGACTGTAAACAAAGTGTCATCAGTATCCTTCCTAGTATTAATCTGGCAGATATTACGTCATTTCCGGTCAATAAACAAGGATATGTGAATGAAGCAGCGCCATCTATATCTGTGTCACATGACATTTTCTTAAAATTTGTACCAGAATCACAGATCTATCATAGTGACTCGTTCTGGAATTCTGTACTATTCCCTAAAACTACAGTGGCTGCAGCACTGTTTACAAGTTATTGGAAGCAATATTTACTTCAACAAGTCGGTGAAGATTTGTCTGTTATAGCTCAGGGAAACACCAAATATAGAAATTATAACTTCAACTCTACACCTTATTCTATTTATCAGCAGATATTTCACTCTCACACTTGTAATGGTTCTAATTCTATTCCACAGTGTGCTATAAAACTTGCCAAACTCTTTGTGCAGTATAAAATCTGGGAACCATCTAATCTTGAATTGTTATTGGCGTGGTTTGACGACCTTAAGAGACTCAATTACACACTTCCGGTACTGGATACAAAGGAGAACGAGTCTCCCACGGCGGTCATCCAATATTCACCCAAGGTCTCCCTTAAAACTACAAATTTTACGAATATATGTGACAAACAGGTAAAAATAAAACCCACCCCTAAAAAAATCGATGATATTTTATTGTTGATAGTTTTCAATCATCCTATTTACAAACATGTTGGTTTTTTACATGAATTATATTCTAGAACGTTTACTAATATAATTTATTGTGGTGACAATATTCAACAATTTCAATCGAATACTCAATATTTAGACTATAATCTAACGTTTATTGAACAATCTGTCAACATGGGGCATCAAATATATAAATGTGTGTCTGTTGCTATGAAAATAGACTACAACGTTTCGGGAATATTAATGTTAAGTGATGACGTGTTATTTAATTCGTGGAACGTTTTGGATCTACCAACAGACAAGCCGTGGACAGGGCAGTTATATCGTCTGCGACTTGGTGAGCGAAATAGTTGGTATAATTGGAGACAGGTTTGGGGTGAAAGAGCATTTACTAGTGCTTGGAATGAGATCATTTCTAATCATAAACATCAACATGCCAAAAATAAAACACTTGAATATCTAACAGATTATTTACAATTTGAAAATCGTTTAAATATTTTAGGTAACTCTACTAAATCTGTTGTTTATGGTTTTTCAGATATAACATACTTCCCTAAAACAATGAACAAAGATTTTATATATTATGCTGATATATTTACTAAACATAAATTCTTTCTAGAAATAGCTATACCTGTTTTGATTGTTGGTTTGACATCACGTGATAATATTTTTATGATAGCTGGGTCTTATCTCTGGGGTCAAGAGCGAAATCATTATCAAAACTTCTATAATACCAGTCATCAATTTTTTCATCCATTTAAATGGAGTGTTGAATTGAGCAAAGATGAAGGCAGAAAATTTTTATGTGAGGAATATTTTCCTTATTTGTGATTAAAGGAGAGCAAAATAAATGTAGGCCTATACTTGAAGAGGAAACATCGTTGGAGAGGAAAAATATTAATGCAGCGGCATTAGCCTATTCTTTTTACAATTTCTAACTGTGGAGAGATCTTTAACGTGCATAGCCTGTGGGACACCGGACAAGAGTCAAAATTTGTTCCAAGTTTCAAAATTTGTTTCAATATTAATTATTGTTTCATATTTTGACAAAATTGTCAATGAATAATGCAAATGTTTAATATTTGAATAGAATTTGATATTTTGAACGAAATAATGCCTCAGTTGACATTTTGTTTTACATGACGTTCTATGATATTATATTTTTATATTTTATTTATACACTGTTATAATGTTTACTTTTGTTATTATTAAAGTTTTTTATTCATTTTTAAACTTAACTGTGTCAAAAGGGATGGTGGAATAGTGATTCCGAGGATGAGGTAATAGACCCCCCCGCTACTCTACACCTGATCAAGGCACTAAAAGTACATTAGAAAACCTTATTATCATATTGCGTAAAGACTAAATGGGAAAAATTCCTTTACATAATGCTTTACAAGCTGCAAGACCTTGATACCAGCGATCCATTAGACGAGCTTTTATTTCATCTAATGTCAGATCAGCACACAAGAAAATTACCCAGCAGTTCCAGACCAACTTCTTAATGAAGTATTTGCTCCATCACAGGCCTGTGTTGCGAGAATCAAACCCTCCCAACCCCGAAAACGTAATAATATCATGTCAACGTAAGATTGTCATAGATTGCCTAAAATCAGTTCCATCAGCTTGTAAAACATGTATTTAAACGAAGGTGTGATTAAAACTCGTATAGGAAAGCAAACAACCTAGTGTGAAACAGCAAGCTTGGTGCCGGAATGGGGGAATCCCCTCTAATGACGTTTTTGCTGTAGGTGTTGCCTGACCAAATACCACTAACCACACGGTCCCTCTTTTACGTTGACACTGATTTCCTCTGTTACAGACTCAATGTACGGACATATGGAAGAATGTTTTGAGTTTGAGATTCATTATGAAAGTCGATCATATATAGTATCAACACCTGTTTATTGGATGTTCTGTGTCGATAAATATACCAAATACTAAAGATCCGAACATATTGGCGAAACATTAGAAGCAGCTACTGAACTTTTCACATGAGGAAGTATACTAATCAAAAGTGGGTAAATATTTAAAAATGAATAGTGAAATCTGGTGCTGGAGTCTCCGTTATAGCTGCTTAACATACACAACAAACATGACAAATAGGAACGTGCAATAAATAACAATAGCGACTTGACTGAATTTTAAAACTTCAAGGGACATAACTCATGAAAATTTTTTTAACTAGAACTGTCTCTGAGCGTGGCAACGAGACCTTATCCCATGGATTCGAACCTTTTGAAACTTCTAGCCTGTAAGTTTTCAATTCAAGTACTTTCAACTTGGGTGCTTCCATTAACGCTTGTTATTTTAAGCCTACAATTTTTGAAGAAGGAATTAAAACTTTTGGGTATCTGATGAATATATCAATTATATAATTTATAAAAATTTTGATGCCGCACTTTCATTTGTATTGGCATTCTGACTATATCTTGTGTTTTTCAGATCGATCCGATAAATAGCGACTAAGTTGGAAATTTGAAATTTTTTCATGCAATAATTTTTTTTTTAAATTTTAGAATTTTTCGATTGCTTTCGATACATCAATATAGAAAGAAAATATTCTAGCGTATCGAGCCAATAGAGAAACATATACATTTTAAACTGGCGAATGAGAAAATAGTAGGAGAAACAAAAGCCTCAATTATCGATCAGCAGACTAACATTATAAACTATGGAAAAGTGGAGAATTAATTGTTCTTTTTAACCATAATTCAGAAATATTAAAACTGAACCTTAACAAAAACATGTTACTGGTGTCCTCGCTTTGATTATCATTTTTTTACACTAGTTTGCATTTGTTTGCTCTCATATACCCGTTTTAATCACACCGTCGTCTAAATACATGTATATGTTTTACAAGCTGATAGAACTGATTTTCAGCAATCTATGACAATCTTACGTTGACGTGATATTCTTATTTAGTTTCCGGAGATGGAAGGGTTTCCAATACAGAGAAAGGAGCTGCGGTGGCTCAGTGAGTTAGACGCTTGCTCGCTAACCTGAAGGTCCAGGTTTCAATCTTGACATAGGTCGAGGTAATACCTTCAGATTTTTCAACCCGGTTTCCCCCTGTCAGTGGTGCAGGTAAGAGGGGCTGTCATGGAAAAAGCGTTTAGTCGTTCGAATGGGACAATAAACCGAGGCCCGTGTGCTACAGGCTGTAGCAGAGCGGCTAATAATTTTGACAAATTTTGACACTGGAAACAAATTTTGACAAATTTTGACACTGGAAACAAATTTTGACAAATTTTGACACTGGAAACAAATTTGACACTGGAAACAAATTTTGACAAATTTTGACACTGGAAACAAATTTTGACAAATTTTGACACTGGAAACAAATTTTGACAAATTTTGACACTGGAAACAAATTTTGACAAATTTTGACACTGGAAACAAATTTTGACAAATTTTGACACTGGAAACAAATTTAGACAAATTTTGACATTGGAAACAAATTTTGACAATTGACACTGGAAACGAATTTTGACACTGGAAACAAATTTTGACCCTTGCCTGGAGTGCCATAGTGCACGTTAAAGATCTCTCGATAGTTCGAAATCGTAAAAAGAGTATAGGTAAATGCCCCTGTACTTTCTTTCATTGTACACTGCACGGCATTGCTGGGCTTTATTAGCCTGTAAGGTGCAGATGGTAGGATATAAAACTTCATTCAATTAATTTATTCATTTTTAAAACAAATGGTTAAATGGAATAAGTCTCCGAGATAGTTTTAATATTTCAAAATCTAGTTCTAATTAGATCACAATTTTTTTCTGATATTTTCGTCTCCGTCCTCCGAGGTAATCTTACCACTTTTCTATTTGGCATAAATCTATATTGCAATTCCTAAATCACAAATAAGGAAAATATTCCTCACATAAAAATTGTCTTCCTTCATCTTTGTTCAATTCAACACTCCATTTAAATGGATGAAAAAATAGATGACTGGTATTATAGAAGTTTTGATAATGATTTCGCTCTTGACCCCAGAGATAAGACCCAGCTATCATAAAAATATTATCACGTGATGTCAAACCAACAATCAAAACAGGTATAGCTATTTCTAGAAAGAATTTATGTTTAGCAAATATATCAGCATAATATATAAAATCTTTGTTCATTGTTCTAGGGAAGTATGTTATATCTGAAAAACCATAAACAACACATTTAGTACAGTTACCTAATATATTTAAACGATTTTCAAATTGTAAATAATCTGTTTGATATTCGGGTGATATCTTTTGGGCATGTTGATGTTTTTGATGAGAACTGATCTCATTCCAAGCACTAGTAAATGCTCTTTCACCGAACCATTGTTGCCAGTTGCCCCAACTATTTCGCTCACCAAGTCGCAGACGATATAACTGTCCTGTCCACGGCTTGTCTGGAGGTAGATTCCAAACGTTCCACGAATTAATTAACACGTCATCACTTAACATTAATATTCCCGAAACGTTGTAGTCTATTTTCATAGCAACAGACACACATTTATATATTTGATGCCCCATGTTGACAGATTGTTCAATAAACGTTAGATTATAGTCTAAATATTGAGTATTCGATTGAAATTGTTGACTATTGTCACCACAATAAATTATATTAGTAAACGTTCTAGAATATAAGTCATGTAAAAAACCAACATGTTTGTGAATTGGATGATTAAAAACTATCAACAATAAAATATCATCGATTTTTTTAGGGTGGGTTTAATTTTCACCTGTTTGTCACACATATTCGTAAAATGTTGAGTTTTAAGGGAGACCTTGGGTGAATATTGGATGAATATTGGAGACTCGTTCTCCTTTATATTCAGTACCGGAAGTGTGTAATTCAGTCTGTTAAGATCGTCAAACCACGCCAATAACAATCCTAGATTAGAAGGTTCCCAGATTTTATACTGGATTATATAAGTTTTATAGCACACTGTGGAATAGATATATAACCATTACAAGTGTGAGAGTGAAATATCTGCTGATAAATGGAATAAGGTGTAGAGTTGAAGTTATAATTTCTATATTTGGTGTTTCCCTGAGCTATAACAGACAAATCTTCACCGACTTGTTGAAGTAAATATTGCTTCCAATAACTTGTAAACAGTGCTGCAGCCACTGTAGTTTTAGGGAATAGTACAGAATTCCAGAACGTGACACAGATATAGATGGCGCTACTTCATTCACATATTCTTGTTTATTAACCGGTAATGACGTATCATCTGTCAGATTAATACTAGGAAGGATACTGATGACGCTTTGTTTACAGTCAGTCAAATTATAAATGAAACTACCACTCCTATCACCAGCATTCACGATTTTAAAATGTAGAAATGGATTAAAATTCTCCGGTCCTGAATACCTTAAACACCATTTGTGATTAAAATCTATATTGAGAAAATCACTGATTGTTTTTAAATCATAGATAACTGTAGCTCCTTGTTGGATGGCGAATAAAATACCAATATTCTTTCTGACTGTACTGGAAACGTTGGAATTTTTCAGATATATGGCAGATTTGAAGATGAGTTTTTTCTGATCTGAAAGACCATGGAACCGACATTTTGCTTTGCTGAAATATTGAACAGATTAATCATGTACATATGACCGCATCAAAGTTTTTCTTCGGAGACCTAATGGTAAGCTTAGAAAGACGATATGACTGATTTGTAACAAATTAAAATTGACACCTGACTAAGGTACCTACCTCCATTGTGTTCTGTATAAATCGTTACCAATAACTAGAACAGTATATCCAGAATTATCAAAGAACGTCTTCTCACTTGTTGATGGACTTCTCTCTGTCTCAAGAATCACCCATATATTTCCCTTGAAAACTGCACCGAGGTGTGAATTTCTGATAATTGTATTCTGGGGTAATCTGAAAATAAAACTATTGTTTCAAGTCTGTCAACCGACAATTTTGGTTGGTAATTTGTCAAGTCCGAGTTTCTTCGTAATCAAAAGAGAATTGTCAAGACAAAGATGGGTAAAAGAGAAAGTGCTCTCTGATCAGTGCACAATAATAGCACACATACACCATACAATAACAGCACAGGCGTTGAATAGATCTATAGGGCACTTCGATATATAAAGCATACCTAGAATTTATAGCAGGATATAATAGCGGAATCTTCTGATCCGTTACGGACAATTGTAGAATTTCTTCCCTGTTCCAAACCAGGTACCAGATGGGAATAGATAATGTTAATATCAGTTGATACAGACTTGTTTTTCTTCTATTTACACTCTGAATATACATACAAAATATATATAAATTAAGGGCGTTGAATGGTCTATTTCACGTTATTGAAAATTTAAATCAATTATACAATAATTCTTGCGTTTATTTCCTTGCTATATTGTTAAAATATAGAGTTATAATAATTATCAACATTCTGAACCCGAAACTACCAATTGTGTTGAGCTATTTGGACATAAACACAACGTCACGTGACCTCGGGGAATTCCCTTGTAGACAAATACAGATTTTTGATTCAGTACCCCGTTCTAATTGTATATCGTTCTACTTATAAACTTAGCTTCTTGACCGCCAATTATTTTTCACGTTCAATAGTGAGTAGGAGTTACATACAAAGTTACCTATATGGGTGTGCATTGTTCTGTTTATAAATAAATAAGTAATAGTGAAGTCTTTGAAGGTATCATAGGTTGAACGTATTGTTGCATTTCATTTCGTTTATTATTGTTTTCTAAAGCAACACTACACGGGTTCAATGAAAACCGTATCCCAACGAACGCATATTGCCATGCTTATTTATCGAGTCAAAAAAATGCGCTCTTAAGGAAGAATTCGAGTGAAGAGATTTATGAAGGAAGTCCGATCAAAATTGGCTGATAAACACGTCCCTTATAGTCCCTTTTTTCGTTAGTCGCTAACTAAATTGCTCTGTAAATGGGGTATTTACAAAATAGAAACGCCCTTCCATATGTTCGTACACTGAGTCTGTATTAAAGGAAATCACTGTCAACATAAAAGCCAGCTCTCGCAAAAAAAAGTTATCATTAGGCCATCCGTTTCGCTTACTGAGGGGTTTGGTTTGATTTAAAGGACACATAGGATTTGCTACGGATTTGGATAGGATTTGCAATGATCCATTTTGCATTTAGATTGAGGTTTGGGTTAAGACTGAGTTTGAGTTTGCTTACACATGTCATCGTAATTGCATCCCTACATATCTTTCATTTTCGTGTCGTCTGCTGGAACTTAATCAATAACAAGTATATTGATTTGTTTATTTACGTTGCCATGGCGAAAATAATGGCGAAACTATGGCACAACATATTATTACATGATTTTTAGTAGTGAAGCTTTGTCGCAGGTTAAGAGTTATAGAGTACCGTTTAGAGTTATTATAACATTGATAAAAGTAGTTGAAAAGCTGTTAAGGTATATTGCTTTCAGAGATGCCATTTATATCACGCCGTTTCGTGGTAGGTAAAATCATTTGTAAATTACGAGTCTATGGTGAAGTAGCAAATCTTTTATTTTTGATTTCTGACCAGCCGAATGGATTGTCTTTTAGCGGGTGTACCCACGCTAACCTTTACATTTACTATCACCAAAAACAGTTCAATGCCTTAACTATTTCCGACAAAAAATGGATATGGGATAAATTGAAATGAGGTTTTACGTTTTATAAAGTGTACAGTGAGGTAATTTTGCAGGGACAGCGCAACTGCATGAAAAGTTGATTCTTAATTCTTAATTTATATTCAGAGTGTAAAAAGAAGAAAAAAACGTCTGTATCAACTGATATTAACATCTATTCTAATCTGGTACTTCATCTGGGACGAAATTCTACAATTGTTCGTAACGGATCAGAAGATTCCGCTATTATATCCTGCTATAAATTCTAGGTATGCTTTATATATCGAAGTGCCCTGTAGATCTCTTTAACGCCTGTGCTGTTATTGTATGTTGTATGTGTGTTATTATTGTGCACTGATCAGTGAGCGCTTTCTCTTTCACCAATCTTTGTCTTGACAATTCTCTTTTGATTACGAGCATATTCCGACTTGTCCAATTACCAAACAAAATTGTCGGTTGACAGATTTAAAACAATAGTTTTATTTTCAGATTACCCCAGAATACAATTTCTAGAAATTCACACCTCGGTGCAGTTTTCAAGGGAAATATATGGGTGATTCTTGAGACAGAGAGAAGTCCATCAACAAGTGAGAAGACGTTCTGTGATAATTCTGGATATACTGTTCTAGTTATTGGTAACGATTTATACAGAACACAATGGGGGTAGGTACCTTAGTCAGGTGTCAATTTTAATTTGTTACAAATCAGTCATATCTTCTTTCTTAGCTTACCATTAGGTCTCCGAAGAAAAACTTTGATGCGGTCATATGTACATGATTAATCTGTTTAATATTTTAGCAAAGCAAAATGTCGGTTCCATGGCCTTACAGATCAGAAAAAACTCAACTTCAAATCTGCCATGTATCTGAAAAATTCCAACGTTTCCAGTACAGTCAGAAAGAATATTGGTATTTTATTCGCCATCCAACAAGGAGCTACAGTTATCTATGATTTAAAAACAATCAGTGATTTTGTCAATATAGATTTTAATCACAAATGGTGTTTAAGGTATTCAGGACCGGAGAATTTTAATCCATTTCTACATTTTAAAATCGTGAATGCTGGTGATAGGAGAGATAATTTTATTTATTATTTGACTGACTGTAAACAAAGCGTCATCAGTATCCTTCCTAGTATTAATCTGACAGATGATACGTCATTTCCGGTTAATAAACAAGAATATGTGAATGAAGCAGCGCCATCTATATCTGTGTCACATGACATTTTCTTAAAATTTGTACCAGAATCACAGATCTATCATAGTGACTCGTTCTGGAATTCTGTACTATTTCCTAAAACTACAGTGGCTGCAGCACTGTTTACAAGTTATTGGAAGCAATATTTACTTCAACAAGTCGGTGAAGATTTGTCTGTTATAGCTCAGGGAAACACCAAATATAGAAATTATAACTTCAACTCTACACCTTATTCTATTTATCAGCAGATATTTCACTCTCACACTTGTAATGGTTATATATCTATTCCACAGTGTGCTATAAAACTTGCCAAACTCTTGGTGCGGTATAAAATCTGGGAACCATCTAATCTAGGATTGTTATTGGCGTGGTTTGACGATCTTAATAGACTGAATTACACACTTCCGGTACTGAATATAAAGGAGAACGAGTCTCCCACGGCGGTCATCCAATATTCACCCAAGGTCTCCCTTAAAACACAACATTTTACGAATATGTGTGACAAACAGGTGAAAATTAAACCCACCCATCAAAAAATCGATGATATTTTATTGTTGATAGTTTTTAATCATCCAATTTACAAACATGTTGGTTTTTTACATGAATTATATTCAAGAACGTTTACTAATATAATTTATTGTGGTGACAATAGTCAACAATTTCAATCGAATACTCAATATTTAGACTATAATCTAACGTTTATTGAACAATCTGTCAACATGGGATATCAAATATATAAATGTGTGTCTGTTGTTATGAAAATAGACTACAACGTTTCGGGAATACTCATGTTAAGTGATGACGTGTTATTTAATTCGTGGAACGTTTTGGATCTACCTACAGACAAGCCGTGGACAGGGCAGTTATATCGTCTGCGACTTAGTGAGCGAAATTGTTGGGAAAACTGGCGAAAATGGTTCGGTGAAAGAGCATTTGCTAGTGCTTGGAATGAGATCATTTCTCATCAAAAACATCAACATGCCCAAAATAAAACACCTCAATATCTAACAGATTATTTACAAATTGAAAATCGTTTAAATATTTTTGGTAATTCTACTAAATCTGTTGTTTATGGTTTTTCAGATATAACATACTTCCCTAGCACAATGAACAACGATTTTATATATTATGCTGATATATTTGCTAAACATAAATTGTTTCACGAAATAGCTATACCTGTTTTGATTGGTGGTTTGACTTCACGTGATGATATTTTTATGATATCCGGGTCTTATCTCTGGGACAAAGAGCGAAATTATTATCAAAACTTCTATAATACCAGTCATCTATTTTTTCATCCATTTAAATGGAGTGTTGAATTGAACAAAGATGAAGGAAGACAATTTTTATGTGAGGAATATTTTCCTTATTTGTGATTGTGAAAGGACTAATCAATATCATGTTTTAATTACTTTAGAATTCATTGCAGGGCGTTCTTTGTTCAGGGAATTTTTTTTTCGATTTCTTGACAGAATTCACAGACGAAACGGTATATGGTATGGTCATTTTCGAACTATTTGGTACCTATACTCCGCGGTCATTAGATTTTAAATATATAACGACACAATTTTGCGAAACCGGACATGCGCCGATGTGTGCAACTATGACTAACTACGGAAAACACTGGAGTGTGTATTTACGGCTCGATCTGCATACGATTTTCTGCATTGTATTACATAAACGATATATTTATTTTTCTAAATACGCCTATATGTCCGCCATTGACCTGTCATATTAACTACTGGCAGTCGAAATATTTGTTGAAGAAATAGGGCCGCCACTCACCCAATATAAAAGTCAGATTAGACACGCTCATCAGTCTGTTGATATTGAGACTGTCAACATCGATAATCACAACTCATAATGAAACCAACTAACCAGAAAACTACCCAACCCTGTCTTTCAAAACAGTAAAATAGATATTAATTTGATTTATGGGAATGTCTTAAATGCCATTATCGTGGGTGTGTGGCGGCCACATTTCTTCAACAAGTATGGCGATTGAAAGTTTAAATTTTTTAATAATTAATTTTAGTCTAATTCGAGCATGATAGCTTTAAATGTACATGTATACTTAAGTGAACTGAGTCCAAGCCTTTGATCTGAACACAGGCCCGTAGCTAGAAAATGTTGGCCCCCCCTTAATAATGATGAAATGAAATGAATGGAGTTTTACGATCTACTCTTCTGCACCATGTGGGCTAATGAAGACGGGCAACGCCATGCAGGGTGCAATGAGGGAAATTTTGCCAGGACAGCGGCATTAGCCTGCTCTTTTTCGATTTCCAACTGTTGAGGAATCTTTAACGTGTCCAGTCTGTAGCACACGGGCCTCAGTTTATTGTCCCATCCGATTGACTAGACGCTTTTTCCATGCCTGAAAATGATGACTTACATGACTTTTTGAGTCGGTATAGTTGAACCCCCTTTAAAAAATGTGCCCAAACAAACGTGTGATATATAGAGGATCTTAAAGGTGTGCTTATGTCTTATGAAATTTATGAAATGATTTGCCGGGTTAAATATTTCACAATCCTTGGGCAGGGAAATATTTAATCCGGCAAGGAATTTCTTATGACATAAACAGGAGTGAAAGATTCTATTTATCACGCAACTAACAATAAATGCATATTTTCCTTAAATTCCACTTTTTCTATATAGGTCCTTCATTTTTAGGTCAGCATTTTTACACCTTTCTACAAAATGTCCTTGCGCGTAACAAAAAAGATCTTTGTAAAAACAACCATGTGATTACTAACTTGAAATTTTTAGTCAAAATTATGTTATTTGGAACAATTTCATGCCCCTGTTGTTCTGTTTACCTTGTGCATGAATACATGGCCTAATTTGCATATCGTTTGTATGAATCTGTGTTATGTACCCGAGAACTGACCGTTGTGTGATAAAAAAAAATAAAACATTCGTAGTATTAAACCGAAGTTCTATAACATTTTATTGACTATTCTTTGTTTTTAAAACAAAGTTTGTTATGATTTTTACTTTTGTTACCAATATATTTTATATTTAGACAATACTTTACTTTGTTTTTCATTCAATCGCAGTCAGAGGGGCCATTGGAAATTAAATGTTTAGACCATAAGTAGACTTTTCGCCATCCGTTTACATACAAGTTGAGCAGTGCTGATCGATAATTTGAAGAGAGGAATCACCTGAGTTGGGTTGCTCACAACTAAAATCACTGATGCTGATATTATGGTGTACACATTTCCATATTTGAGACTAAGATTATTCAATTTCAAGGAAAGTTTTCATTCGACATCTTAAGCAGAAAACTAATTTTATATGTCTCGTTATATTGACTGACATTTCTTCGGCATCTTTTGTCCTAAATTTCCAACTGGGAAATCTATATCCTAATACGGGTTGGTTCCGCAGGTGAAATCTGGTGTTTTGAATGGAAAGCCAATATCACATGACCTATTATCTTCACACATTCCTCAGTAAATCGATTTAACCCATAAATTGTATGTGATTTGATATAAAAGCCAGAAAGTAGTATTGATAGTAAGGAATGTATAAGAATTACGCAAATAAAAACAGGTGCGCGAACAGTAAATGTAAGAAGTTTAAGATTGAAATATAATCTGTATGGGATTGTTTCTTTATGAGGTCAATTATGGGTGAATATTCTGACAAGTGTTTTGTTTATCAATGTCGACCGATGTCCCTTGTTTTGGAAGCCATACATGATAGAATATAACAAAATCAAATTATTTTCTATGTGTACGCCCTAAAATATCTTCGAGAAAACCCAGAGGCAACAGAAAAGTGAGTATGCCTAACATGCGGATATGGCGATTATTACTACAATAATAAATCACAGAGGCTGAAAAGAGTTTGAACACCGAAAAATGGGGGCAATCTTTATATGTTGTTTCCAATGTCGACAGAAGCGTATCTAGAAAATGCCTGAAGCTGGGAGCCTCGGGTCCTCATGCAGATGGACGTGGATGAATGCATTCGATCTTTCACAGGCCTGTAGGGAGGGGAGGGGGCACGACCTTTCGCATGACCTCGAAATACCGCCCTAGAACGCCACCGAATGTCGTGCACCTATAATGTGAAAGTAAAGAGAATTTTAAACCTTGGTTGTGGAATGGAAAAGTCTTGCATTCGTTTATTATAGCGGTCAGCAAGTCTAGATCGGAGTCAAATGCGCACGACTACGCTGAACTTTATGACATGCCTATATCATTTGACCCTCCAATGAAAGTTCAATATCATCGATTGAATAAAGTAATAACATAGGATAAATTGGTAATCCTTGGTGTATGCCAATATGATTTGTTAATGCGATTAGCCTAGTTATATGTTATTTCTTCTCTATACTGATTGTAATTAGTGGACTATCGTTATTCGTCTATACTGCAGGTAGGCTATACTATATTATCCTTATATCGCCTTTCTTCGCTTTATAAAAATCTTCATGAAGCATATACACATTGAACATTAATAACACATATACACCTCTTTCAAAATTACAGAGTTCAACAAACGGTGCTCAATTTTAACAATATGTCACATTTTTCGGAATAGAAATCAGCCAACGTCGGTCCACCTACAAGTTTAGCTAAAAAGTAGGGTGACAATTTTGACTACCGCCTACCAGGTCGTTAAGAATATTCTTGGATCGATATTATAAACTCATGTCAGCGGTACGAAACATTTGTGAGAATATTTTAGGGCTCTTTGTACGTAATAAATGTTTTTATTTTAAGGGGAACTCTTTACTTTAAATGGGTCAGAATTAGATCCAGGACCAAACAACAAAGAGACATGTTCAACATTCAGCCCATGGGAATAATACTATATATAATATAAATATAAAGATATTAAATACTGGGAAACTATCTCCCTTCACTGTTCTTTGTTATTTATAGGTCTAACGTTAAACAAAATCATGGGTAGTGGAGCTTCAACATCAGATCCTCAAAATGGTCGTACAGACAATGAAACTAAGCGAATTACTCTTCAAGCCAAAGTCAAAGCTGTCGGAATGTTATCAAAATTTTCAAAATGGCGGCAACGTGAAAACGATCGAATTGAGCTTCGTAAACAGTTTGATCAGTTAAAAAAAGAAAAGAAAGAAATGTACGAAGAGATTGATAAAATTTACTCAGAAGACGACGATGCTGTTAGATTCAGAAGAAAGTCCACTCAAGTTCCAGATTTCGGAAGAGTCACCAGAAATTCAGATAAACCGTTTTGGGCCGCTGTAAGACTTTTCTATTACATTGTCAGTTATCCAATTATGTATACAACTTTTATTTCCAGAGCTTGATGAGTCATGGCCATTAGGAAATTCTTTGGTTAAACTTGCATGTGGCATGTTTTATTTCCAATAAGAGGTCTGAAAAATATAAAATATAAAAGTAGATCAATGACAACGTTAAAGATGAAAAAATGGAATTGTAACATGTTGGCAGTAAATATTAACTATGTTTAACGTTGTTATTGATCTTCTTTAACTATATATTATATATTATTTAAATCTTAACAAATGTGTTTCATTTAGAAAACTATATTGATCAATAAGATGAGGGATTCTATGACCTGATTGTATTATATTATTAGGTACTAAAGGGAGATAATGTATTATATATTCATTACAAGCCACAGTTAACTAACCAATACTTTTGCGTTGCAGTTTGAATCAGACACTAAATGTTTTCTATGTAATCAACCCATAGAATTTGAATTGGGGTACCCATGTCGAGTATGTACGAGGATATTTCATAAACAATGTTTAAATAAGTCTGGAGAGTGTAGGGTGATTGATAAAGAACTCTGTGCTAGAGCTAAAACGAACACTGGCTGGAGCTGCTATATCTGTGTAAGTATTGTGCTCACTTATCTCATGCTTCCTCGTGGATTCTGGTGTTAGCTACATTTTTCCTTATAATATAATAATTATTGAGATCAGTTCCCTCTCTTGACTATGATGGGTGTGGCGCCAGACAGTAGGGTATTCTGATTCTTCTATACACATGATTCCACTTTTCATGAAATTCTTACTCACTACTGATTGATATACTTCCTCATTTGAAAAGTTTCTCGGATTTCGTTATTCGTTTTTCTGTACGGATCGTTAATACTTGGTTTATTTATTCTCTGTAATATAAAAGTCGTACGCCAGGAGGAAAAGCACAGAAAGAGGGTCCAGGGTCATTGCTAGTTTTTCTCCTCATACCAATAAAAGAGAGATATAAGGAGGTGTGAAGACAGTGAAGACAATTAGTCTGCTCATCCTTGTAAATGACCAATCATTTCTAATGGACTCGTTGCATTATTTTTGTCGAATTTGGGATATTGTTAACATTACGATTTGAATTAGGTCTATGCTGGCTTTCTCCATCTGGTCCTTCACTTGGTCAAGGTATATTGGCTAAAAATTAACATGACAATCATGTTTTATCTGTAGGGAAATCTTGGGTTGCTGTTAACAGATGAAGAAATGGAAGATTTGGGCACAAAATTTGAGAGATTTGACAGAAACCAAGGTAATCATTTTTGTTTTGTTCTGAAGATTCACTTTGATTCCGCCTTTGATTTATCTGAACTCGAAATTTTCAGTCCAGTTCACCCATATTAATATCCTAAACTCGTTTTGGAAGCATAGTACCTAGTTCCCCGCGTCTGGTCAGATTTTTCCCCCTGAAATATTGCTCATAATCCAATAATGAATTTATTTCCTTCGTCTAACAAATGAAATGTGTGTCGATGATCGACTGCTAGGACAATGTTTTCAGATTCGGTCATATCATTGAGTGAGTACGTGCTGAGTAGAGCAACAGAGCACTCGGACAGAGAGTGGAAACAACCAGATGACTTTGATATGCAGAGGTATAAACTCGACTTTCGATTGGCTGATATTGATAGTAATGGTTCTCTTGATTGGTGGGAATTTATAAATCATGAAGCTCAAAAGATTTTAATGATGAGGCCAAAGGTAACTTTCTTTACATCATTTCAAGACTCAGATTTATATACATGTCCAAATCTGTGAAATGGATTCAGTGAATTATATATATACAAATTACATCTGATGAAAACGATCATCCTCCTTAGTCCTCAGTCTTTTTTCTGTCAACTTTTTTCAAAAAAATATAAAACGATTTTGCTGTTGCCTGTGCCCTCTAAAGCTGTGTTGGATTGTCGTCTATGCTATTGGGTGCCATGGGTTCGAATCCTTCTCAATGCAAGAAAACTTTTATACCACAGCCAATGCATTCAGCCCTTTCGCCTTACCTCTTATCGACAGGACTACAACCCTTCTCGAATTACAGGATGAATTAGTAGAACTGTTAACAGAGAAGGAAGTTTTAAAAGCCAAATCTTTATTCAGAACATTCGATAAAGATAATAAAGGATTTATAACGGAAATGGGTGCTAAAACTGCTTATAGAAACTGGTACCAACAAATCGATACCAATACAACTGGGTAAGTTGTATGAAATCAAACATGATGTCCTTATCCTTATTCTTATTGACAGTGACACTTTTATGAATCGTGTAGATGCGAGTAGATGCCTTCGAACTCACAGCGCCAAGCATTAGAAAACTCAATTTAAGGGTCAATTTTGTCTCCCTTTATTTGAAAAACATCTTGTCTTTGTAATCCCTGCCGACTTGCATCAATAGCGGTCAAAACGGACTGAAGATCGATCGACGGTATATCAAAAAGGGGGAATAACTATATATAAGCTTTTCTTCCAGCGGATCGTCCGGACGTTATGATGCTGTTGAATTTCATGTCAACTTGAACACTAAAATGTTTCTCAATTTGGAAAACGCAGATCACGAGTAAGTTTTTGAGTGTTTTTTTTTTATCAGAATATTATCTTCATATACTTCTTAATATTAATGGAGTCACAATTGAGAATTTCTGCAGCACTAAACAGTAGACCATTCTGTGGTTTGAACTTAAAATCAGTTAACGAACAGGTCTGTTTTACATTATAATGTGTCTGTGTAAGCAAGAACTTGATGCTTTACCTGTGGACCGGGATTATTCCCAAGACAAATGGATAGAAAACATGCTTTAAAATCTTCCCCACATCATATAAGCAACACTACCTAAATGGCTGAACATATGATGCTAAAACTATAGCTAGAAAGCCTAAGGAATGCAGTCTGTAAGTTGATTAAATGAACTCTCTTGGCTCTTTCTGATTTCAGATGCATATTCTGGCCCCAGTTCCTGGATGAACAAGCCTTATATCTACTGACATCCAGACCCAATCAAGCTGATATTTTCCGGAAATCAAAGAAACTGGAGTGATAAAAGACAGTGACAGGAATAGCAGGAATTATCACGAAAGCCATATATTCTCATTTCTATATTATGTATATATAAACCACAACTATACCTTCCTACAGCAGCAACTATGGAATGCAAAATCAGTGCCGTATTGAGGCGGTAATTTTGGAACCATGCAACTCCGCCTCCCAAGAGAAAAATGAAAAAAATTCACTCCCACCTCCAAAATCGCGTAAGATGTACTTCCAAGCTTCCCACATTTTCTTGGGAGAGGCCCCCCGGGTCACCACCACGACATGTATTGGAACAGAGAGCCGTTGTGGAAAAAGTCCGTCATCCTATCACAAACTAAGTCACGAGATATTTCTGTGTGGAAATTTTTGAATAAGATGATGAAAACAGAGCCTTGGGTTCGTGATTATATACAATCAGCACTAAGCGGAAGTTTAGTCACCATGTGATTCAGGTTCAATACTTTATTCAGATGTCATTGATGACCTTTTTTTAATTAATGAATGCAAAACATTAACACATTTATTTTATTCAATTGTTTAATTAATTATATTTACATTATTCTAAAGATATGTACCAACACCTTCCCTCAAAGACTAAAACTTTTTTCTATAAACATTTCAATTTAAAGCTTTCCCATGGGTCAAAAATGAATCTTAAATCATTTAGCCAGGATTATGAAGATTATAATCTATGATGGATATAATAAGATGATGGATTAATTCTATGGATTATATCATAATCAAAGTGTATCTCTAGTAACACAGGTGGAATCTGGAAGAAATCTAATTCAATTTTCGGCTAATCACAGTTCATAGAATATATCTGACGCCTGGATATTCTACAATAACCTAAACACTACAATAAATTGAATGCTAAGCTGAAATTAAATCCTATCGGCAAAGCTACATCATTTTTTTCAAAAAAAATCATAACTTTTATGTTATTCACATCTAGAAAACAGAGTATTTAAGAGGACGAAAAGGGTAATTATTGCACTGTTAGCTTACGATCTCTGTTATGGATGTCCTTAGGAGATGAGATGAAACACTTTCAAAAGGGTTGGAAAGAGACCTGAGTGTCGGGGAAATAGTAGCATCTATCGAATGAACAGTATTCCGGACGTCATAACGTTGTAACGTGTTTCTGAAATTGCAGCCGTCGGGTAGTAAATTGTGCTTTATCTGATCCCCATACACTTAAATGGTCCCTTTCCAATCCATTTAAACACTTAAAAATCACTCCTGTTGTTCTGGTTGAGCGTATTGTTTCACCCAGATAAGCAGATGTTGATCCCGAGTTAAAGCACTCACACCAACGCTATTACCATTAATAGTTATTTTAGGTTGATATCCTTTTCGGACCAGGAAATCAGCAGTCTCAAGTGTAGCTTGCTTATATTCGTCATACTGCCAGTGCATGAAGATATAAGGAACATCTCGCTGGTCGAAGAATCCCATACTGTTTTTAAACACCGAATGTTCCATACCCTGAAGATCTATTTTTAAAATAACTGATTTAAAGTCAACAACGAATTTGAGGTCCTCGAGTGTAATAGCTCTAACTATATTAGTGCCTATATTATCCTTCATCGCCATCTTATAATCGACGTGTTCCGCATACACTGCCCCCAGATTATTAGGTGGCACGGGGTACTTCACCTCCATATACCCATGTCTATCCGACACAGCATTCCTCAACAATACAATCTGTTCATTAAAGTCATTTATCTGGACAGACTTATGAAACGGTCTAATGTTTTCTAACAAAGGTTCCACGGCGAGTACTTGTCGCCCGTAGTGTGCCGCTGTTAAGGAATACACTCCCAAATTAGAACCCAAGTCGAGAACTCCGCATTGTGGGCAAGCTACCAAAGCTCTTTGAAACTCTTGAAGATTTTGTGACTCCCATGTACCCTTTTCAACCAATGACGCTGAAATGGGCTTATCTATTTTAGGATCATTAACACATATTTTGGTGTCGTTATTCAGCAGTTTCAATTTCACACAGTCAAATGTTAAATCCGCCTCTTCACTCAAATCATAAACTTTTAAAGAGTTCAGTGGTGCATCTTTCTTGGGTTTCTTCTGTGGTTCCCCACCAGAGTTTCCTGTGTCAGGGTTTGCCTCTGCATCATCTGCTTTGGCAGCAAGGTTGTTTGAATGGTATTGCATCAACGCTTTAGCATCGTCCTCTGAAACCTTACCAGAGACAATTATCTTCATGATTTTACTATCATCAAGAGGTTCTTGTATCCCAAGTCTTTGCATTAAGCTTTCTTTTTGTGCTATTTTAGCTCCTGCGTCATTCACTGTAAAGAGACACGAATGCAATAAGATTAAAATTGGCATACTTGTGTGAAGACTATATCATGTTCAGTATTTACAACTATTAATATGACTAATGTATATATGAAAAGAAGTCTAGAATTCTGTTTAGAAAATGAGTTTTTAATGGTTAGGACGAGAGAACGAGAGGACCAGGGAGGACGGTAGAGGGGGCGGGGGGTGTACGAAGAGTTCAGAAAGTTTTGAAACCAGAACCTTCGGTAGAGTAAGATAATGAAAAGTGAAACTTACATTCTGCTTGTTGTACTTGGAGTGGAGCTTGTGACACCCGTTTTTCGTCTTGTTGTACTTGAGGTGGAGCTTGTGCCACCCGTTTTTCGTCTTGCTGTACTTGAGGTGGAGCTTGTGCCACCTGTTTTTCGTCTTGCTGTATTTGATTGACAGGCCGTGCTATCTGGGCGTTTACCGGCTCTTTAATGACACCTCCTGGTTGATCGACCTGAATTCTTTTTCTATATTCGTTCATCAAACCATGAATTTTAGCCAATGATTCATCATTTGCGGGACCAGCACCTCCGATATCCTTCAGCGGTCCTTCATCCTTCTCGACTTGCTTGACGAGCGAATCAATCGGACTTTTCTTCTCAGGTACATCTTCTCCATTGTGATTGACGATAAACTCGACACCATTGATCACTTCCCTCTCTATCTTTCTATCCCCGTCTACACCTAGTCGCTTCACTTCATGCCAATGTTGGTGACCATGATGCTCATGAGGATCCAAAGGTAAATCAGCATCGTCAGGGATATCTTTACCGTTATCATCGACATCGTCATCTTTAACTACTGTGGGTTGTTTAGGGGGTTCTTTGTGGTCCACTTGAGTGTCCTGTTCCTGTGCATCTTGCACAGGTGGTTGAGGCATTTCTGGTTTTGGGTTGTTGTCAACATCTGATGGATCCTCGTGATGCTGGTCGATGACGAATTCTACTCCGTTCACAAACTTTCGTTGGACTCCATCCTCTTGCTGCACTGGTTGCTGTTCTTGTTTTTTCCTTTGAGATTCTATTTTCTGAAGAGCAAGTTTTTCCCGCTCGTTCTCTTGTTGCATTAATCTTGAATATTTTTCATACAATTTCTTTATCCTCGTTTGATAAGCATAATATCCACCGAATATTGCCAAGACTAAAAACAACATAAAACAGACTTTTCTAAATTTACTACGGCGCATATTGATAGCTTCCATAGAATCAGAGCATGAATGAATCTCCTGAATAACTAAAATCCCTAATTGTCTCACAGTATGCAAGCAATAATCCTCTCTCTAAGCATTATTTCCGTTAGAATCCGTGGCCGTTTTCTTGAACTGTTAAATCTTTCGCCATCTTTGGTGACGTTCAATTTTATTAATCAATTTCGTAGGCCACTATATTTTGTTATTTGTTTATCGGGGGTAAAAAGATTCATATACGATACAAATGATGTAGGTATTATGGTCAGCTGTGAGCTATTGATTTCGGACAAAGGTGGCTAGATCTGTTTGTAACTGGACCTCTTCAGATGGTTCTGATATATTCTGTACATTGCAGTGGAGAATAACGCATTCTGCTCAGCCAGCAAGTTACTCCTTTTCTTTCTGACATAGTGTCAACAGAAACAGATATTTTATTAGTTTTTCCCTTAAACATCTGTTAAACTAAAATCGATTCGGACTTTTATTTAACATTCTTTTACTCGATAATAACATACATTTAAAGCACATCTGTTTCTGGAGGTTATGTCCCTTGGTATACTTAGCAACGCAATCGATATATGAGACGCGTTCGATTCAAGTGATAATTGGACTAAATGATGTGTATTGTTATCGAACAAAACATAGGTTGCCATGCATTGAAATGCACCAAATGAGCGTAATCCTTTTAGCGTGTTTCAACACGGGATATTAAAGAACACAAGTGTTGTCTCACATCACAAAATAAAGTAGAGACGGGTAACTAAACGAAGACAAGTGAAGGGAAATATTTGACGCAGGCTATAAAACAGACTAACATGGATTTCTCGTATGTATTTTTTATTTGTTACGTTTTTTTATACTCATATGTTCTATTGTTAATGTACTTAATGAATTTTAAGACGGTGGTTTCGTACCACGCTATCTGCTTCTAGGCTAAGTTTAAATTTTAATGTGCCTCGGAAGTTAGTAATTGGAATGCCTAAAGTTCTTCTGAGTTAACATTAGTTTGACCGACTCGACATTGCTACCTGCAAACTCATTATTATTTTTATTTTGTTATTATATATATTTGAGTGAGACAAGATGTGTATGAAAGTTGTTTTTAATGCAATACTTTTATTCAGTTGTCAATTACAATTTGAAGTGGGGGTGTGAAAACAAACTAGGCTTATTTTAATTCATTTTCCAGGATATGATAGTTACAAAGATACAGATACAAATGTCTGCAACATAAAAAACCGAGCAGCTTTTGTAAATGTTTTGAATGGCTTATTTCGTTTGACAAATATTTTTCATTCATTCGTTTCACATAGCTGGTCACGCGAAACGAAAATTCTTAAAACGACGTCATTTACCATGATTTTGAATAACAATAATACTTGTGACCTTATTTACTGCATGTCGCCAAGGGTTAACTTTTTAGTCAAGAGGAGAAACGGGAAATATGAAGTTAATATGTAAGAAAATGCAAATATATGGATAACATTAAGGTAATGTAACTGTACAACTATCCTAACTGCAATGTATCAGTCATAAAATAGGCCCAATAGCTATCCTGAATCGTTCAAAGATGCACACGAATGACCAAGCTAGGTAAAAGACTTTAAGGATAACATTTTTAAATGGATAAATCACTCTCTTCAATCTATTACCACAATCTCTTAATATAATAAAGAAGGACTTTGATCTACATGTAGTAACTTATGTACCTTATGAAATATATTTGTGTATGTATGTATCTTACTCAGCGAGGCAGATTCGAATAAGCATTATCCTTTTTTCTTTATCGCATATATAAAGTACATTGTACCACTAAATCCACAATACAGAAATATTGTTTAAAAAAAAAATTGGCAAATGTTGGTTCAATACTTTGCTGACTCTTAGCTAACCCAGGAAGTTAGTGGGGGATTATAGAATTATACAGTAAACATGAAGACAATGCATGTTAATCGCTTTAGGGTACAATTAGCTTTAAATCATTTAAGTTGACTCGCGATCGGGTATTTAACAATACAACCCTTCAGGCGATTTAAAAAGATATCAGTCATATACCTTCCTAGACCAATAATGTAGGTAAAGGTTTAATTACGATCTTTTGTTCTTCTAATCGCCGAATCAGTCCAAATTCACTTCTCGTTTTACAATTTCCTTCCAAACTAAGGTGATAAATAAGACAATTATTATCAGTAGATTACTTCTAGAATATTTATTACTTTTAACTTTCAATGAGATGTTCACACCGTCAGCAGGTATAGTGTAAGTAAGGTGAGATAATTTAGTGATATATATTACAATATTGCAGCGCTGAGATAATTGTTAGATGTTCGTACGTGTAGACTTTTTCGTTCTTTTTCGACTCTCGTCAAAGGGAGACACTGGTCGAGCCAAGAGCAAAGAGCAACGTCACGTGGAATTTTAATAGTAGAAATTGCTAATCCTCGTTCGTGAAATATTTTAATCCACCTCTTCATCAGTGAGATAATTTTACTCTTAATAAACAAATATAACACCACAAACCATATCTTTAATGTAATCTGGGTATGGTTTCAATTAAAAATGTATGGACCGACAACTTTGTTTTTTGTCTACATTTTTTTTTCTCTGTGTTCTCACGTAATATTTCGGGGGGGTTGGTGATACAGTGAGTCAGATGCATGCAAGATCTGGGACTCGATCAAATCCCAGGTGAGAAACTAACTTTGGATAACTGCCTCCGTTTCGCCGGCGATACAGTATAGTTGGACAGTTAGATCGACAGTAGGGATTCTGGTAAGAATGTTACGTTGTCATGGCAAAACTCCCTCACTGCACACTGCATAGCGTTGCCTGTCTTCCTTAGAGCATGATATGAATATGTTATTTATAGGTTTCGTATACTCACGTAAGACAGGCCTTGAATCTCTTTGTTTATTTTGTAAAATGTGAAGGTCACCATGATGTACATGTATATAGAAAACTAAATGTAAATACGGACTGTATGGTAGGTTTTCTCTTATTTTTGGACATTTGTAGATCTTGCTGTGAACTCTAATACAATTCCGATTTATTACGGGCTATTTCGTATATCATATAATATGTCTGCGTGTTTATTTTGATGATGGTTGATGAACGATATAGACACACGGCTTTTGAATGATATGTGTATAGTACACCGGGTTAAAAGAATAAAGAAAACGATATGTATATAGACTTAATATATTTTACACGAAAGCGAGTACAGGTGAGGTATAAGGTTCATAATATTCTATAATATACGACTTTATGGATTATAAACTATTACCAATATACTATAGGTACTGTACATGTACATATGAAATGTATCAATTTACCAAAATAAGGGGTTAGTATCAAAATAGTTAGTGTTGCCACATTATACCTATTTACCAATAGGAGTTATTACCACAATAAGGGGCTGCTATAAAACTAAGGTTGCCAAAATAGAGATTGTTACTACAATAGGAGTTGTTACTACAATAGAGGTTGTTACTACAATAGAGGGTGTTACCACAATAGGGGCTGTTACTACAGTAGAGATTGTTACTACAATAGGAGTTGTTACTACAATAGAGGTTGTTACCACAATAGGTGTTGTTACCACAATAGAGGTTGATACCATAATAGGGGCTGTTACCACAATAGAGGTTGTTGCTACAATAGAGGTTGTTACCACAATAGGGGCTGTTACTACAATATAGATTGTTACCACAATAGGTGTTGTTACCACAAAAGGGGCTGTTACCACAATAGAGGTTGTTGCTACAATAGAGGTTGTTACCACAATAGGGACTGTTACTACAATAGAGGTTGTTACCACAATAGAGGTTGTTACTACAATAGAGGTTGTTACTACAATAGAGGTTGTTACCACAATAGAGGTTGTTACTACAATAGAGGTTGTTGCTACAATAGAGGTTGTTGCTACAATAGAGGTTGTTACCGCGATAGAGGTTGTTGCTACAATAGAGGTTGTTACAACAATAGAGGTTGTTGCTATAATAGATGTTGTTACCACAATAGAGGTTGTTACCACAATAGGGGCTGTTACTACAATAGAGGTTGTTACCACAATAGGGGCTGTTACTACAATAGAGGGTGTTACCACAATAGAGGTTGTTACTTCAATAGAGGTTGTTACTACAATAGAGGTTGTTACCACAATAGAGGTTGTTGCTACAATAGAGGTTGTTACCACAATAGACGTTGTTGCTACAATAGAGGTTGTTACCACAATAGTGGTTGTTACTACAATAGAGGTTGTTACCACAATAGGGGTTGTTGCTACAATAGAGGTTGATATCACAATAGGGGTTGTTGCTACAATAGAGGTTGATATCACAATAGGGGCTGTTACTACAATAACACAATAAGGTTGCCAAAATATAGGTTGTTACTACAATAGAGGTTGTTACTACAATAGAGGTTGATACCACAATAGGGGTTGTTGCTACAATGGAGGTTGTTACTACAATAGAGGAGTTACCACAAAAGAGGTTGTTACCACAATAGAGGCTCTTACTACAATAGAGATTGATACCACAATAGAAGCTGATACCACAATAGAGGTTGATACTACAATAGAGGCTGATACCACAATAGGGGTTGATACCACAATAGAAGCTGATACCACAATATGGGTTGATACCACAATAGAGGCTGATACCACAATAGAGGTTAATACTACAATAGAGGTTATTACCACAATTCAGGTTGATACAACAATAGAGTTTGTTACCAGAATAAGCTAATTTTATAAATCCAAAGAGTTTTACGTCCTTTTTTCGTTCTCTGCACCATGTAATATAATTAAAACGGAAGTTTAAAGATGGAGTACCGATTAGTGACCTCAGTATTGACCTCTGAGATCACGGGCCTTTCTCACCTTATAACTATATTTATACATATGTACATAATCCTCAGTAGATATATTTAAGTCTATGTTAAATGATTTATGTTTTACGCCCTGGCTACGACAGCTATTTGAGTCAATTGAGTCTGATATTGATGTATATAATGATATGAGCAATTTTTTAAATCCTGTAAAAGTTATTATGAGTTCAATCGTCAACTTGGACTTGTTGGAGAAACCTGTATTTATCACTCAAACGACTTGGTCTAATAAAAGGTATGATATGTAAAGGTCAAGACACAATATTATTTTTTTTATCATAAATATGAATGATATAGAAGAATGTAGAAAAGTATATACATGTATATTAACAATGCTGTAACTAAACGTGGGCTAACTAAAACGTGTTATTTTTCTGTTTACTAGAAAGTGTGTATCAAATTTCTTCACGTTTCATTCATTCATTCATCTATCGGTCCGTCTAATCATTCATTCAGTGCGTACGTTATCTAGTATGATATTGTTAGAATATAACACTGTAGGTATAAAATAGCAGTTACAAATTCGAATTTCCTGACAACAAAATTAGATATGATATACACGACAACTTGTGGGATGTTTCTATTTCCAATATTTTACAATAAATAGATAGCAAAAATCTAGAAAAGATTAAGCAAGACATTTATCTATATTTTGAATGAATTTGTTTCAATTTTTTACTCATACAACCTAACTTAGAAATATTCACAACATTCAAGGATGATTTCCAACATAAATATCTATTTAAAACTGTGAATAGAAAAAACTTATATCAGGCTATATATAGATATTTCAATATCATATACATTGGCGTTATTCTCAATACTTTAAATACTGCCATAGTTTACACTGTTACATACTTGCCATGCATGGTTCAATCTTTTGATTTGGAAAAAGCCTACGCCTTAATACTCAATGTAGTGACCTGAAAATTCAATTCGCCATGCCTTTAATTTAGTTTATATTGGATTAAGCTACTTGTGATACATTTCGTAACAACTCTTCGTAAGTTTTAGGTAAATTTACCAATTTTTAGCCGTAGCAGTAGCAGTATGGTCTTTCCGTAAAGGGATGCCAAGTTAAGCTAGATCGCTAATAAGAATTACGTCTAGAAAAATGGGTATGCCTTGCATCGCTTTCAACAGATGGTGTTTTGAGGAAACATTAAGGGGCGGACAGGGACAAACCAATTTTTCAGTGGTGCCACAGGCAATTTTTTCTCTATATAAAATGATAAAAAATTTGACATTTGGAGTGGGGTCAGCCTTTTTTTCGGGCGGGGAGTGTGTGCGCCACCGCCTGTAGAGTAAATACAACGTTTGCGCTCTGGTTAATGACCTTAAGTGCATATTGGTGTACTTTACTATAATTGAGCTCAAATCGTATAATTCCCTGTTTACATATTTCTCACTTAACATGTTTTTTTTTATCATTTCAGCAATACCAAGATGAAGTCAATATTTAAATGTAGTCCGAAACGTTTCGTAAAATTCATTATAGTGTGTATCGCAGTGATCGGACTAATCATATACTTCCCACGAGAAAACAAACCCAATCCTAATGTGTATAAAGTCAGACCATTGGATTATGTAGACCCGGATGTGCAATTAAGACGAGACCCCGGATTAATCATTTTGACTCCGAAACCAAAGACATCTTTCAAGCCAACGAAGTACACAAAGTTGAATAGTATACGGTTCAATCATACATGTAAAGCTCGTCTGAAAGTGGGTGGTTCTGATGTAGCGATATGTGTTTACGGAAAGAAGTTAGACACTATGGTGTCATCGCACGTCATAGATCACAGCACGTGGGAGAAAAAACAGCTCGAGATAATGGGGATGATACTGAATCAGAACAAAAACATGCAAGTTGTGGATATAGGATGTAATATTGGAATTTATACTCTTTTTGCTAGTAAAATGGGACGCAGGGTGATAGCAGTTGACCCACTTGAATCAAATCTTCAACTCCTACAAAAATCTATTGTGCTAGGTCAATATCAAGATAAAGTGACCCTTGTACATAATGCCATATCTGACCATCCAGAAAAGGTGATAATTGATCTAAGATTAGGCAATATTGGTGGTACCCACGTGAACCGCCTACCCGATCCTTTAAAACCTCACAAAAGAGTAAAACGATACAAAAGATTGGTGAACAAATCGAGAAATAAACAAAAAGTAAAAAAATCCGTACTTCAGCCACAAAAACGCAGTGGGAATAATAAAGATCCACATAAAAGCTTTCAATTCAAAATTCCAAACTTGCAGAATGGACCTCAAAATCAACATATGAAACCTATTGCCCATAAATCTCACCAAGGAAACAAAGTTGCATTGAAGATAACTACCAAACCAAATCTCCCAAAAATTCTTAAACCTTTTAACACCAACGGTCACAACAAAAACAATCTGTTACCAGGGAAACCAATAGGATCAAAACCAACAATCAAACCAATCAATAATCATAATTTTAAAAATCCCGCCGCCAGTCTAAAGATCAGAAAAGACAACCCCCAAAATATCAACCCTAAAATTGCGAAAAAGGAAAGTAAGAAGAGCACCTTGGATAACACTAGCGTATTAAGACAAGACAGGACTTTAGTGCAAGCTGTAACAATGGACGATTTAGTGCAATTGGGATCCTTTCGTCCCACATTCCTTAAAATGGACATTGAGGGTTGGGAATATCTAGCTTTACGTAAAGCATCAATATTCCTACGCGAGTTTGATGTGAGATACATTATGATGGAATGGACTAATTTACGGTGGAGTGGCAATGGGAAAAATTTGGTGGCATATTTAATTAAGAACGGTTTTCTTCCTTATAAAAATGATGACAAAGATGAATTTTTAGATGTTCAAAACTCGTCAGCTTGGCCTGACAATGTACTATGGAGAAAAAGGTAGCTGATTTGGCTTTCTACCATTGTGATATTTGACAACCGGTGTAAAAGTGATCTCCCTTTGTGCTGCATGTGGAAATTGGTCTGAAAGGTTGTTATGTCTTTTTGGCAATGTAATTTGTTCATATCAAGTGAGACGCGCCTTGTGTATGTGTTATCATTACATAGTATTCAATTCTAAGTATACAGATATACTGACTTGGGTGGAGGAAAGCTCGTCGTGCTTTACCCCCTATGTTTCTTATCAATTAAAATTGGGAAAGGATTTTTGTGACCCCTATTTAGCCGCTCACCTCCACTACCAATAGACGATCTTTAAAACTGGAGTTATGATTCTCTAAAATATTTCTTGTAAACACATGAAACAGCTTCCATGTTTGTTTCGGTATTCCATTTTGATTTTAAAGGGATTGTTAAGTCGGTTTCTGAAAAAAATTATATGTATTGGAGA